TTAAAGACTGTTTCACATCCAGGAAGCATTATACCAGAAAGAGAATTTCTTAATTTATGCAGCAGGGGCTCTATGGCCAACGAGTACAGCATACCAGATAAAGAACATCCTTGTCTGACTCCCCTATGAACCTTAAAAGGTGCACTCAAACCACCGTTGATCTTTAAAATACTCTCAATGTCACTGTACAAGACTCTAATCATGTTTATAAGGCCAGAGCTGAACCCAAACGCATTCAACGTTTGCCACAAATACTTATGTTCAACTCTGTCGAATGCCTTCTCCTGATCAATTGAAATCAAACAAATTTCACAACCCAATGAATTGGAGAGGTCCAAAACATCACGAATTAGAAAAATATTGTCAGATATCAATCTATTTGGAATGCAGTAAGTTTGATCAACATGAATAATATTCTCCATAACTTTTTTCAGTCTCATGGCCAAAACCTTTGACAAAAGTTTGTAGTCAGTGCAAAGTAGAGACACCGGCCGCCAGTTCTTTATCTCTTGTAAATCCCCTTTTTTGGGGAGAAGAGTGAGGACTGCTCTCCAGCAGCTCAATGGTAAACTTCCTTTATTCAAACTGTCTCTCAGAACAAGCAACAAGTCTTTGCCAATCACAGGCCAAAAAGCTTTATAAAAGTCCACAGGAAGACCGTCGATACCTGGAGCTTTACCACTTTCTAGACTCTGCAACGCAGACTGTAGTTCCTCAGCAGAGATTGGAGCATCCAGCTCTGGGTTAGCCTCCTCAGGAACCTTGGGTAAACCCTCATAGAAGGTCTGTGCCAGCTCTGGTCTCTCCTGAAAATCACTCTTGAAAAGTTTCTCATAAAAAGTAATTGCATATTTACGGATAGCCGGCGACTCTTGCAACAGTTGTCCGGTGCTGGACCGCAGAGAGTGCATAAGTCTCCTTTGTCCATTCAAGGCCAAAAAAGAAATGAGCAGGTGCATCCATTTTTGCAATATTTTGGTGACGTGACAACAGATTTGATAGAGCTGACTTTTTTTTTTTGAGAACTTTAAAATGTTCTCCTTCTTTTGTTGAGTCTGCCAAATCTTGCAGTTTTACTATTTCACTCTCCAAAGCTTTCATCGATCTAGTCATGTCCCTTGTGACATTGAGAGTATACTGTAGGCAAAGTTGTTTTATATTGACCTTCCCTATATCCCACCACTGTTGTAATGAAATGTATTTAGATTTTTCTCTTGTATAACCACTCCAAAAAAACTTGAAAGCATCTTTAAATACATTATCAGAAAGCAAAGATACATTAAAATGCCAATAGGCACTTTTGCATTTCATATCTTTAACAAATATATCGGCTTCTACAAGGCAATGATCTGAAATACCGACTGGGTATATTGAACAACCTTTAAGTACATTGCTCTGATGTTCAAAACAGTAAAACCTATCGAGCCTAGCCAAAGACAAATAATTATCTTTAACATGAGTCCAAGTATACTGCCGCTGGTTAGTATGAAAAAACCTCCAAACATCGCATAAATCATTCGTCTGAATTAAATTAACAAGACAATTTTTACTGGCTCCATGTGGTTCTGGATGGTTTCTATCTAGAGCTGCATTCTCAGTGCAGTTAAAATCCCCACCTAGGAACAAGTAACCATCATCACTACAGCTACTTATAACAGCATTTAGAGTGTTTAAAAATACACCCTTTCTGCGCCTACAGTTGGAGCATATACATTAATAAAAGTCATTTTTACATTTTCAAATACAGCTTGTATTTTTAACAAACGACCTTCAATGACTTCTTCAATAACACAAGAAATGGGTAGAAAATCTTTCGCAAACAGAATTCCAACTCCGGCACTGTTGCTACTCTTATGACTGAGAAAAACTTCCCCATCCCACTCTTTCTTCCATTCAGTTTCATTTTCAACAGTGCTATGCGTTTCTTGTAAAAAAATAATACTTAATTTCTTAACTTTAAACAAACTAAAAAGGGAAACTCTCTTTGCATCCTCTCTAGCACCATTGATGTTTAAAGAACCCAGCTTTATGTCACACATATCAAATGTTAATGTGTATTTTGACAAACCATAGAGGGTAGCACAAAAAAAGAAAAAGAAAAAGAAAAAACCCTTAGTCATCATTGGCTATTTTTGCTCGAACTTTTATCATCAATTTTTTCAGACGAAAAATTTCTTGGTCTGTAAAAGTCAGTTGGCCAGAAAATTCTGTGTTCTTCATGAATAGTTTAACTGAGTCACGGAAGAGTTGTAAATCTGGGAAAAACTCCTCAACTTTAACTGATCTCAAGCCTTTAGTTCTTTGTAAAAAGGACTGAATTTTGGTGAAAGGATAAGCACTCTCCACATCCATTTGTGCATCACCACTAACATCACTTTCAGACTCTTGTGTGTTCATCACCACATCATCTGACTGAGAGGAACAGCTCATAAGATTCATTTTTGAAACCTTTGTAACTTGTTCAGAATTCGATTTCTTTTCCCCCTGATTTTTCCTCTTGGTTGACATTTTTGACATTTCAACATCCATTGAAACATCTTCCTCATTAAACAGCACTGACTCAACTACTCTAGTCGCGGTTTGACCAACACTTAACTCATTTAGATCATCTCGTGCTTTTTGCTCACTCTCTACATTTTCTGACTGTTCATTGTCTTGATCACTATCATCTCGGTTTTCTTCCTGCACCGTTCTCTGCGGTTCGTCAGGTAAAGAAGCTCCGCTTTCAGCCCGAACGGGCGGCGGGTCTGCTGTGTTAACAGCCCGGGTCTCTCCTACTCTCTCTGGGCACGAGCGAATTACATGCCCTACAGTCCCACACCCAAAACATTTCATCGTCTCTGATGTTATATGCACAGTGTAGTCAAAGTCCTCAACCTTAAACTTAAACACTAAATTCAGTTCTTCGTCGCTCTTTTTAAGAATCATATGTACATGTCTCCTAAAAGACACAACGTGTTTAAGATGAGGAGATTTACAGCTGATAGGGATCATCTTAATCGGGGATACAAGTTTTCCGTGTCTCCCTAATTCCTTTTCCAAAAGCTCATTCTTCAAAAATGGGGGTACATTCGAGATAATGACTTTTTTGGCAGGATTTACAAGAGACAAAACTGATGTGTGTGTGTCTTGAATTACTACTCCGCTCTCCAGTAACTGATTCACTTTTTCCACAGTGTCTAAAAAAAATCACTACGGCACTATTCATCCTAGATGCCGATTTAACACTATCATATCCGACAATTTCACCCACCGCTAAAACACACTCTTCAACAGAACACCCATTTGGCGGAGAAAGTTTAATAGCATGTCGGCGCGTAAGATTGTGCAAACTAGTGCGTTCTCCTATAGCAGCCATGCTAACAGCCACACCGGCTGCCGCCGCCGCCTCCACCAAAACAAACACCAAAGAACCCCAACTATCACTGTTTCCCTAAAACACTCCTCAAAACATCAACAGAGAAAACAAAACAGCTTTAGGAAAAAAAGAGAAGCAGAAAACTCACATTCAGCACGCTCTCAGCAGCACTCACACTCACTTCCACCCACCACACGCTCAGAGAGAGAGAGAGAGAGAATGAAGAAAATTAGAGACTCTTTATTCTGTAAAGTCACATCATCTTCATCAGCAAATAAAACAGAGGAGGAAGAGAGATCTTCATCTTTATTTCACCAGATCACAAAATACTAAGGTGAAAATGTTTGTACAAAAATAATGTTAATGTGTTCTAGTTTAAACAGTTGAAGTGATTTTAAGCATTTTGATTCTTGTATGTGAATGTGACTGACCTCAATCTCTCCAGTTTACAGTGTGAATCCTTCAGTACGGCACATAAGTGCTTCACTCCTGTGTTTCCTAGATAATTCCAGCTCAGGTCCAGCTCTCTCAGGTGTGACGGGTTTGATTTCAGAGCTGAAGTCAGGATGAGACTCTGTTTCTCTGTAATACTGCATCTATTCAGACTGAAGACAGAGAAATAACAATAGTTCACATCTATGATGATCATCTTATTGAAGAGCTACAGCAGCATTTAGTTTCCAATAGTCTGTGTTAAAACCCAGTCACACTAGTTCTGTGCGCTGGAAGACACTGTTTCTTCTCTTTCATTTCTAACTATTTATTTGACGTCTCTCTTCTTTATTCTCTGTGGTAAAGGCAGATTTCTGTGTGTACACAATCAGTACATTGTATCAGATGTTGGGAATTGAACAATTACTATATACACTCTAAAAGGTTTTATATGATTTACTAATTTATTTTGGTGAAACAATCAAAAATATTGATTACATTTTAAAGCAGTGAAATCAATTACAATACACTGTATAAACTGAGCAAATGTAAGTAAAAAGTAAGTAGATCTGAGTAACTGCATCTGTACATTAACAAATAAAATTGTTTTAACTGAGTAAATCTGCTCAATCTCTCAAGAGTGTGTTAAATATATTAATGATATTGATTTGAATTAAGTAATATTTGTGGTTCTTGAAACATATTAGTTTAATTCTACAATCTCAAATATTTTGATAGAAATTTCACAATTATGTTAAGTGTATTATACATAAATTATTGGTTAGTCAAAGAAAAAATTCTAATAGTGAAAAAAATAAATAAATATAACTGTAAATTTTAGATGAAATTAACTGTTGGATGTTTAGTCAATTATTTTGGTACGTTTAGCTCAAACAATCAAGCAAATGATATTCAGAGATTTTATTAAGTTAATAAAGTTAAATATTACTGTGATATTTACTAAGCCACAGAATAATTACACACAGTGTAGATTAACAAAACATAAACATGTGAGCAAGAGGGAAACCCAGAAAGTGCACTGCTATAACCAATGAAACATAAGCCCTGCTGTCTTCAAATAAATAAACTTCAGTCACACTGTAATTGCTGTACAGTATAATGACACTAACTGTAGTTTCTCCAGCTTGAATTGTGGGTTCATCAGTAGATCACTGAGGTTTTTCACTCCAGAGTCTCCTAGTTTATTCCTGCTCAGGTCCAGCTCTCTCAGGTGTGACGGGTTTGATTTCAGAGCTGAAGTCACATCAGGACAACCTTCATCTGTCATATCACAGGATCTTAACCTACATTAGCAGAGAGAGAGAGAGAGAGAGAGAGAGAGAGAGAGAGAGAGAGAGAGAGAGAGAGAGAGAGAGAGAGAGAGAAAAAATTCAACAGAGAATGAGAAAGGATGTCTGGTTCGATGACGAATGTGCAGGTCTCAGGAAAGAGCTGAGGAGACTCTCTAACAGAAAGCACAGAGACCCGTCCAGCCAGACATTACGGCTCTCCTATTCAGACTGTCTGCAGAGTTACAAAAGACTTCTGTGGAACAAAAGAGAAAAATATTTTAAAGCCAAAATTGATGAAATTGATGATTCGCTAGATCAAAATACTTTCTGGAAACTATATAAAAAACTAGAAAAACCCAAATTAGAGATGTCACTCCAGAACGGCACAATTTGGAAATCTTATTTTGAAAATTTATATCAAAAAATTACACCGGCTGACCTTAACCAACCTCAGCGTAACATACAGAACACACTAGAAGACTTAGAAAAAACTATTAAAAATTACCAAAATCCATTAGATACATTTATAACAATATCTGAAATATTAGAACATATTAAAAATCTTAAACTAAAGAAAGCGTGTGGACAAGATAACATTAGTAATGAAATGCTTAAACTCAGCAGTCCCAGCATGATTCAAACTCTGGCCAAACTCTTTAATCTGGTGTTGTGGTCCGGAAGCGTTCCTGAGAGCTGGTCTGAGGGACTCATCACACCCGTGTTTAAGAAAGGCGATCGTCTCGACCCCAATAGTTACCGCGGCATCAGTGTGAGCAGTGCTTTAGGAAAACTGTTCTGCAGCATCATAAACACACGCATCGTCTCATACATCTCATCGCACAACATTTTAAATAAAGCACAGATTGGCTTTCTACCAAAACACCGCACATCCGACCACATCTATTCACTCCACACACTCATCAACAACAACATCAACGACAAACAAAGGAAAATATTTGCATGTTTTGTAGACTTCAAAAAGGCATTTGATTCAATTTGGCATGATGGTCTACTGTATAAAATCCTAAAAATTGGCATTGGCGGAAAAACGTTTGACATTATAAAATCTCTGTACAGCAACAGCAAAAGTGCGGTAAAAATCAGGAAGCACAGAAGCGCGTTCTTCCAGCAGGGCCGTGGAGTGAGGCAGGGCTGCAGTCTGAGCCCGACTCTATTCAACATCTATATCAATGATCTGGCATCAGCGCTGGACAGCTCCACTGTGCCCGGCCTCACTCTACACCACACACAGGCCAGGGGTCAGGGGTCAGAGGTCAGATGTCTGCTATACGCGGATGATCTGGTCCTGCTGTCCCGCACACCTGAGGGCCTTCAGCAGAGCCTGTCCCTGCTGGAACAGTACTGTCACGACTGGGCCCTGACAGTCAATCTGGACAAAACCAGAGTCATGGTGTTCCAGAAGAAGGCCCGATCTCAGGACCACAAACACCAGTTCCTGTATAAAGGCCAGGTCCTGCAGCACAGCACGAGCTATAGCTATCTAGGCATCGACATCAGCGCTTCAGGACGCTTCGGTCTGGCTGTCAAAACACTCAGTGAAAAGGCTCGGAGGGCTTTTTATGCCATAAAGTCACGATGTGGACACTTAAAATTACCCATTAAAACCTGGATAAAATTATATAATTCGATTATAAAACCAATCCTTCTATATGGATGTGAAATTTGGGGACCACTACTAAATTTAAAAAATTGGGATAAAACATTAGTAGAAAAATTACAATTGGAAATTGCCAAAAATATTTTAGGGGTTCACCGAAACACGCCCACTGCCGCCTGCAGGGCTGAGCTAGGCCTGTACCCACTGAACATCGAGATCCAGAAGAGATGTGTTCAGTTCTGGCATCATCTCCATCAGTCTGATCCAGAGTCAGTCCAGTATAAAGCCCTCCTCGCCAATGAAAGCTCAGCAGAAGCTCATCCTCTACACACACTCGCTCTTCAACTCGTCCATCAGACCCAACTCCCCACTGACCACAGCTGCAGCCCCAAAACTATTATTAAAGAAATCCACACACACCTAAAAGACACTCATGATCAATCACTAAAAGCTCATTTTGACCTCCAAAATAAACTCCAATGTTACTCGACCCTCAATAGAACCACTAAATTGGCCTGCTATCTATTTATTAAACATTTTAAAGAAAGACAAATCCTCTCCAAATACAGATTAAGCGACCATGATCTAGAGATCGAGAGAGGAAGACATAGACACACATGGACAGAGAGAGAGCAGAGGATCTGTAGACACTGTGATCTACAGCACATAGAGGATGAGGAACACTTTCTGCTCTTCTGTCCCAAATATAACAATATTAGAGAAACTTTTCTGCCCAAATTTGAATCCTTGATCCCATCATTCTCTGATCTGAGTGACACTGAGAAAATGTTCTTCTTACTCGGAGAAGATGACAATACAGCTCCACTAGCGGCTAAATATGTGTTAGCTATTCACAAGGCCAGAGACAGCTAATTGTATTTATTCATTTATTAATATATACTGTGTTTATTTATTTACCATGCTACATATGACATGATCTATATGACGTGATCCATACATATATGTTCTGTGTGTTTGTTCTATTATTTATATATAATATGTTGATGCTTTGGCAACATTGTGTTACACAGTCATGCTAATAAAGCTATATTGAATTGAATTGAATTGAGAGAGAGAGAGAGAGAGAGAGAGAGAGAAGAAAATAAGAGACTCTTTATTCTGTAAAGTCACATCATCATCTATCAGCAAATAAAACAGACACAGGAAGAGAGATCTTCATCTTTATTTCACCAGATCACAAAATACTAAGGTGAAAATGTTTGTTCAAATATAATGTTAATGTGTTCTTGTTTAAACAGTTGAAGTGATTTTAAGCATTTTAATTCGTGTATGTGAATGTGACTGACCTCAATCTCTCCAGTTTACAGTGTGAATCCTTCAGTACGGCACATAAGTGCTTCACTCCTGTGTTTCCTAGATAATTCCAGCTCAGGTCCAGCTCTCTCAGGTGTGACGGGTTTGATTTCAGAGCTGAAGTCAGGATGAGACTCTGTTTTTCTGTAATACTGCAATAACTCAGACTGAAGACAGAGAAATAACAATAGTTCACATCTATGATGATCATCTTATTGAAGAGCTACAGCAGCATTTAGTTTCCAATAGTCTGTGTTAAAACCCAGTCACACTAGTTCTGTGCGCTGGAAGACACTGTTTCTTCTCTTTCATTTCTAACTATTTATTTGACGTCTCTCTTCTTTATTCTCTGTTGAAAAGGCAGATTTCTGTGTGTACACAATCAGTACATTATATCAGTTGTTGGGAATTGAACAATTACTATATACAGTCTAAAAGGTTTTATATGATTTACTAATTTATTTTGGTGAAACAATCAAAAATAATGATTACATTTTAAAGCAGTGAAATCAATTACAATACACTGTATAAACTGAGCAAATGTAAGTAAAAAATAAGTAGATCTGAGTAACTGCATCTGTACATTAACAAATAAAATTGTTTTAACGGAGTAAATCTGCTCAATCTCTCAAGAGTGTGTTAAATATATTAATGATATTGATTTGAATTAAGTAATATTTGTGGTTCTTGAAACATATAAGTTTAATTCTCCAATCTCAAATATTTTGATAGAAATTTCACAATTATGTTAAGTGCATTATACATAAATTATTGGTTAGTCAAATAAAAAATTCTAATAGTGAAAAAAATAAATAAATATAACTGTAAATTTTAGATGAAATTAACTGTTGGATGTTTAGTCAATTATTTTGGTACGTTTAGCTCAAACAATCAAGCCAATGATATTCAGAGATTTTATTAAGTTAATAAAGTTGAATATTACTGTGATATTTACTAAGCCACAGAATAATTACACACAGTGTAGATTAACAAAACATAAAAATGTGAGCAAGAGGGAAACCCAGAAAGTGCACTGCTATAACCAATGAAACATAAGCCCTGCTGTCTTCAAATAAATAAACTTCAGTCACACTGTAATTGCTGTACAGTATAATGACACTAACTGTAGTTTCTCCAGCTTGAATTGTGGGTTCATGAGTAGATCACTGAGGTTTTTCACTCCAGAGTCTCCTAGTTTATTCACGCTCAGGTCCAGCTCTCTCAGGTGAGACGGGTTTGATTTCAGAGCTGAAGACACATCAGAACAACCTTCATCTGTCATATCACACCAGCGTAACCTACATTAGCAGAGAGAGAGAGAGAGAGAGAGAGAGAGAGAGAGAGAGAGACTCTTTATTCTGTAAAGTCACATCATCTTCATCAGCAAATAAAACAGACACAGGAAGAGAGATCTTCACCTTTATTTCACCAGATCACAAAATACTAAGGTGAAAATGTTTGTACAAATATAATGTTAATGTGTTCTAGTTTAAACAGTTGAAGTGATTTTAAGCATTTTGATTCTTGTATGTGAATGTGACTGACCTCAATCTCTCCAGTTTACAGTGTGAATCCTTCAGTACGGCACATAAGTGCTTCACTCCTGTGTTTCCTAGATAATTCCAGCTCAGGTCCAGCTCTCTCAGGTGTGACGGGTTTGATTTCAGAGCTGAAGTCACATCAGAACAACCTTCATCTGTCATATAACAGCAGCTTAACCTACATTAGCAGAGAGAGAGAGAGAGAGAGAGAGAGAATTTTTTTTTTAATTTGAAAGCACATTTTATTACAATTAAAAATTAAACATTATTTCATTACATCGTTCTCATTTTATAAAACACACACACACACAAAAACTCTACTCTGCTATTTATACATAAACCCATAAAAATACTCCTTTTACTGTAAACAGGTAGCAAAAATTAGTGTCCCTTCATGCACAGAACACAATACCTCTCCACAACACCATTTCACTTCAAACAATGACAAATCATTCATAGCCTTGAAAAAATTGAAATCTGTAATTATTCTGGACTTAATCAGATTGTAAAAAACCACCAGTACATCTTGTCCAGAACTATTTTCAATCTTATTCTTCCTACTCACATAGATTGCCATTTTTGATTGGCCCAACACATAATTTAACGACTGACACACAGAAGCCTTTCTCTTTATAATATAAACCCACATATAAACATTTGCATAGAGAATTTTTCATTAAAAGCCTTAAAAAAGACTCTACAACAATAAATAAAGGTCTTAATCTATCGCAATACATAAAAGCATGAAAAACGGTTTCTCTCTGCAAGCAAAAAGGACAATCAGAACTAATCTCTGGGTTTATTACAGAAATAAAAGCATTCACAGCTATAACTCCATGTAATAGCCTCCACTGTATGTCACCCGCTCTCTTAGGTAACGGTGGCTTATATAGTGCTCTCCATTGCGGTCTAAAATCTCTACTAAGACCAATGACATTACGCCAAGGTGTATCGCTCCTATTATATAAAACTTTCCTGTTAAAAACTTTCACACAATTGTTATACACATCTTTCGCATTAAAAGAATCAACACTGAAAAAAACATCTTTCTTTTCCAAAAAAATACATTCATACTCATCCATTTTTGGTGACAGTCTTAAAGTATGGAAAGGGTCATCCTCCTTTGGGCTTATTACACCTCCACAAAAGTCTTTGATGGTTTTCAACTCCTCTTCTTCAAGAACTGACCTCCACTTCAATAAAAGTTGATGAACCACCCTTAGAGATTTAACTCCCAATTTATCTGCTGTCTTCTCAACATTGTCCAAATCCGGTCCTGCAACATTTACTAAATGTCCCAATGTTGTAATTCCTGCTTTAATTAATTGTCCAGTGTTTGCAGGAAAATTAGAACTGTTCACCACATTTTCAAAACGGGTTCCATAAATCAGTGGTTCTTGAAGTAACCAGAACAAGCTTGACTTTTGAACTTTTTTCACATCAAACAAATCCCAGACTTTAAAAATGTTCTGATAAAAAATTGGTGCCTTCAATACATTCATCTTTGGGAGATGCATTTAAAAAGAGAGATTTATCAAAACCTAACTCTCCCATTTCCTTCAAAATCTCACAAGCAACAACCTTCCAACTTGAAGTGGATGAACCATATAAAAGTCTGTGTATGAAACGCATTCGGAAAGCTGCAACTCTACTTTGCACATTTATAAGACCCTGCCCTCCTTCATCTTTGGATAAAAAAAGTACACTTTGGGATACCCAGTGCAATCTTTCCCAGAAAAAATCAACCAAAGCCTTCTGAATCTCAGAGAGTAAACTCAGAGGAGGGTCCACACATGCTAAACGGTGCCACAAAGTAGAAGCTGCAAGGTTGTTAATAATTAGAGTGCGTCCCCTGTACGACATCTTTGGAATCAACCACTTCCATTTATTCAATCTTCCTTTTACTTTTTCAAAAGCATCATCCCAATTTTTTTTAACAGTAGAAGCATCGCCCAGGAATACACCCAGATATTTAAACCCTCCCGTAGACCAACTTAAGTCGTGTGGGAGCTTCGGTATGCCCTGTGACCAATTTCCAACCAAAATCGCTTCACTTTTGGCCCAATTTACCTTAGCAGAAGAAAATTTTTTTAAATCATTTAAAATATTGACCACAGTATCAATGTCCTTTTGGTCACTAATTAAGACCACTACATCGTCAGCATACGCTGATAGTGAAACAGTTTTACCTGAAAAAGGCAAACTTACACCTTTTATATTTTCTCTAATCTTGCATAAAAGAGGCTCTATTGCAATAGAGTACAACATACCTGACAAAGGACAGCCTTGTCTTACACCTCTTTCCACTTTAAAAGGAGCACATAAGCCGCCGTTAACCTTAAGGATACTTTCAATGTCATTATATAAAATCTTAATTTTTCCCACAAACTCTTTAGTAAAACCAAAAGCCTCCAGAGTTTTTAAAATATATTGATGTTCCACCCTATCGAAGGCCTTCTCCTGATCTAAAGAGATTAGGCCAACATCAAAACCTTTCATTTTAGACAAGTCAAAAATATCGCGTATGAACGATATATTATCAAAAATTGACCTCTCCGGGATACAATATGATTGATCAGACTGAATCACTTGCTCTAGAACCCCTGAAAGTCTATTAGCAAGGGCTTTAGAGAGGATCTTATAGTCACTGCACAACAATGACACTGGTCTCCAACATTTAATTTCTGTGAGGTCTCCTTTTTTTGGTAGAAGGGTAAGGACAGCTCTACGACAGCTCAAAGGCAAATGACCATTTGTAAAACTGTCATTTAAAACCTCGAGCAAATCTTCCCCCACCACGGACCAGAAAGCTTTAAAAAACTCGACAGTGAGCCCATCTATACCTGGGGCTTTTCCCAGTGCCATACTCTGGAGTGCTTTTTCCAGCTCTTCCAAACGTAGCTCTCCACTAATATCCCCATTAGACTCAATAGAAACTTGGGGTAGTTCTTTAAAAAAAGAATTACTTATGTTTTGTTCATCTTTTAACTCACATTTATACAACTCTTTATAAAAACTAACAATTCGTTTGCGTATTTCATTAACATCAGTCAACATTCTCCCAGAGTCGGATCTCAATGAATGAAAAAAACGTTTTTGACCATTCTTCTTCTCCAGGCCAAAAAAGAACTTAGATGGTACATCCATTTGGTCAACATTTAAAAAACGTGACCTTATCAAAGCCCCTTTTGCTTTTGTCTCCAAAAAATCATTCAACTTAGATTTTTTCTCCGAAATATCCCTCATAACATTCCATTGTCCATTAGTTTCTAATTGCTCTTGCAACTGTACAATTTCCATTTCTAAAACTTTCATGGACCTATCTAAATTTGCAGTAATATTTTTTGTGTACTGTTGACTTAACTGTTTAATTTGGGCCTTTCCATAGTCCCACCATTGTTGCAATGAGCTAAATGTTGACTTTGAGTCTCTAAAATCCTTCCAAAAAAATTCTAAAATATCTTTAAAATCTTTATCGTTTAGAAGAGCATTATTAAAGTGCCAGTATGCACTCTGTGGTTTTACAAAGTTCAGGAAAACAGCACAATGAACCATACAGTGATCAGAGAATGAAACTGGAAAAATATTACAACTTCTAAAAACATTACTCTGATGACTATAACAATATATTCTGTCCAACCTTGCTAAAGACACAATATTATCTCGAACATGAGTCCATGTATATTGTCTACAATTGTGATGAAATGTTCTCCATACATCACTAAGTTCGTGTGTGTTAATGAGTTGGATGAGCCTTTTACGTGACAACATGTGAGGTTCAATGTGATTTCTATCAATATTTTTTTCAGTACAATTAAAATCACCACCAAGAATTAAAATATCATCATTTTAAACCTCTTGTAAAGCCAAACATAAAGAATCTAAAAAAAACTATTATATCTGTAGTTACAGTAGGAGCATATACACACATCAAAACAAACACTTTATCCTCAACAACAGCTCTAATTTTTTAAATTCTTCCTTTTAGAATCTCATCCACTTCATAAGAAACAGGGGTGAAATTTTTTGAGAAAAGAACAGCAACTCCTGCGCTAAGTGAATTATGATGACTCAGAACAGCAAGGCCATCCCATTCCATGGCCCAATTGACTTCATTTTTTAAGTCGCTATGTGTCTCCTGAAGTAACACAACATCAAACTTTTTTTGTATAGCCAACTCAAAAATCTCCGCTCTTTTTTTGCTATCCCTTGCACCATTCACATTCAGGGATGCAATATTGATGTTACTCATGCTTGCTAATATAAACCACAACAAAAAGCCCCATACCAACATCGCAACAGGGACCATGGAATCCGATTTTTTAAACACCATCATTGCTTCCTACTTCCATGCTAACTTTTCTCACAATTTTCTTCAGTCGGTACACCTCTCTATCAGTAAAACACCCCTCGCTCATTAAAGCACGTGACCTTTCCACAAACAACTGAGCATTCGGGAAATAATTTTCAGCATTTACGTTCCGCTTATTTTTTGTAATTCTCAAAAACTGTTTAATATTTTGAACATCATAACCTCGAAACCCATAATCCGACTGAGAATAAACACTACTTGAACCAGATGAATCTTCATCAGTTTCATCTTCCTCTCCATTTGACATCTCCGTTGTACCTGCTTTTTTCACCAAACTCACGCTACCATGACCCTTCATTTTTCTTTTCAAAGGTACTTTAAAAGACTGTGAATTTACTTTTTCTGTGAGAGAATCATCAGGAACCACTTCAGATGATTTTATATCACCATGCATTTCACCTTCTACAGCTGCAGCCATTTCTTCCATAGAGTCATAACCTACCACTTCTCCTGCCGCTAAACAAACCTCTTCTATTTTCAGCATTGACGCAACTTTCACACCATTGCGCCGCGTTAGAGACTCAAACACTCCTGAAACGGCGCTCGCCATAATTCCGAACCCCGGAAAAACGGCGCGCCGCACAAAACAACAACCTTTACTTAGAAACTCTACAAACAAATTCTAGTAAAGGAAAAGATAGAAAAAGTTTGAAAAAAACACCTGCACACTCGCTCCCACAGTCACGCTCAACTCGCTCATCCACACTCGCACATGCGCACAAAGAGAGAGAGAGAGAGAGAGAAGCCCCTTTCACACAGAGATTCCAGAAAATACACGGATAATGTGACCCAGCATTTGTCCCGGGAATGTTTGATTTCGGTTCATTCACACTGCAAGTGATTTGCCGGGATCTGTGAGTGCGTTCCCAGACAGCAAACTGACATTGAATCAACGTGGAAACGACGTCTCTCATGACATTGAAACAACGTTGATTTTGCTCATCGAATTAACGTTGAACCAACGTCAGACGCGGCATTCTTCAAAGCTAAATGAAAATCGAAAATTGGTTTGCTTTCATAACGTTGAAACAACACGTTGATTTCAAGTTGATTTTCCGTTAGTTTTGAAAGAATGACGCGTCTGACGTTGGTTCAACGTTAATTCGATGAGCAAGACAATGTCAGATCAACGTTGTTTCGATGTCATATTTCCACGTTGATTCAATGTCAGTTTGCTATCTGGGTTCACACACAACCCGTAAAAATCCCGGGAAGACGCATGACGTCAGGATGAGACGTATAACGGACGCGTCAAAAACATGTAGGCTACCCAGACAACAAATTAGATCGTGCCGACGTTGGGGCGCGCGTGGCTGCCCGACATAAAGTGCCTCGGTAAGATGTCTTATGGAGATCGGTAGCTAATCGGCAAGACATTGGGAAGACGGTGGTTTTAGAACGATCGCCGACCGCGAGCCAACGTATACCCGACATGATCGCCGACCGTGAGCCAACGTATACCCGATATAATTATTATGACCTATTCAGCGCGATCCCACTAGAGCAGGGAAAACATTCAGACGCCTGCCTCGCTCCCTTTGACTTAATACTGGAACAGTTGATTTTCGTCTGCATCGCTGGAAAGGGCACAGCATGCTTGAAAATCAGCTGTTCCGGTGTTAAGTCAAAGGTAACGAGGCTTCTGAATGTTTTTCGCCGCTCTAGTAGGATCCCACCGTTATGTCTAATTATTGATTTGTTTAGGCTAACTGCTGTCAGATTGTTCCAAGGACACAGGTTGCCTATTGTCTATCAACAATCAATAACAATATGATTTGTTAATCGTAACATTTCTTCCCTAACAATTTTGACAATTGCAATTAAATTGAAATGAAATTGAAGTGAAAGTTAAATTGAAAGTTAGTGATTGTTTGTGTAGGGTGTAGCCTATTTCAAACACAGTCTGACTACCTGGGAAATGTCAGTCTAACATAAAAAATGAATGGATCAGTGATATTAAAATTAAGTTTGATGGTCATGCAAATTAAGCTAGGAGTTTTCCAGGAAAAATAATAAAAATGAGAGCACCGGAAGATGACCTTGAACATTTATTTTTTACTTTTGTTTTTGCAAAAGCAGTATCATTTATTTTAACACTCATCAAATCACACATAGAAAAGTACAACAACAACAAAAAGAAATTCCCTCCAAAATAGGTAAACAGGAAAAATCAGTCCAATCAATTATTTCACTTTAAGATGCTCGCCCTCTTGCTTCCTGTCCCTCCTCAGCCGCAGCCAGTTTCTCGCAGTCATCTCTACATCTGCCTCAGTGGAATTTTGTTGGGTAGGATTTCTTAACACAGCACCTAAACGAAACAAAATAAAAAATAAATAAAGCAAATTTATACTTTTACTAATTTAGTCTGATGTTCTGAGTAAGAAGTGCAGTAGCATACATTACACATAAAATATCGTACCATTGTTAGTCCTCTGAAGGATCCCTGGAAAAGGCTGCAAAGCACACAGGCCGTCATTATTATCCGGCGGCGTCACTAGAAAATAGAGAAAAACCAAATTATTGGAGTGAACAGTAAGTCAAGTTTATCACAATTATATAAACTAATGTCAGTGAGCTGAGTAATTGCCACACATTTCTATCAGCAGCAACTCATCTTAACCCATGTCAAAATAACAGAGCTAACCCAGTGTCACTCCACATCAGTGGTTCTCAAACTTTTTCTGTCATTCCCCACTTTGCATAGAACTGTGCTGTGCTCTATATGTGTTTGTGTGTGTGTTTGCGAGTGTGTGTCAGTGTGTTCTTTGTCTGCGTCTTAAATAGCTTACAGTCAGGAAAGCCTTCAGTCTATGGAAGCACATGGGTAGCAATATTCAATTTGAATGAAAATTAATTTCATGATTTAATTTGATTAATTTCATCGCAAGTGTCTTGACTGTGAGTGTAAACGCAATTAAGAAAAGTAACATTTGAATGATCATTAAATTTGCCACAGTTTTTGCTTGAACATGTTACACATATCTAATCATTTCTGTAATGCATTTTCATTTTAATTTTGACACTTATAAAGCATTTCAATATGCATATTAAAACTAGTGTATGAAATGGCAAATGTAAATTATGTAATTTCATTTTCATTTTGCAACAAACGTTGCTAGAATGTAAAATATAAATTTAAATACACAATGCAATGCCATTTTACATATTGCATTGTCATTTTGCATATTACATTTCAAATTGAATATTGCTACCCATGTGCTTCCATATCAGTCCTCCAGTCCTCCTTCTTGAATATTAACTGCGGCCTCTTGGAAAGATACCTTGGCTAACTTATCACACTACCAATATAAACTCCAAAATCATATCTGGAACACCAAACTATGGTATGCGCTGTGGACCTGTGCAGTACACTGTGTCTACTTGAGTTTAGGGACCTGATGCAGTTTACTACAGAGGGGACACTTACCTTTACTATACGATGATGTGGGATGGGCTGGAGGAGATTTGTCGTGCGTTTTCTTCTTCTTTGCCTGTGTTGTTTGTGGTGCATTTACTGTAGGGTGTCTGATGAAGGGCACGATTTAGGGTGTCTGATGCAGGGGATGGTGGTGGTGATGGTGATCTAAGTTGCAATGGTCTGTAAATGAAACGTTTTTACAAAGATTAGTTATCATATTGATCACATCGAGAGAAATATGACATGGGTGACATACTCTGTGTGATACAAAGAGGATGATCAAAAAGTCAAAAAACATATGAAGCTCACTGAAATTGGAAAACATTTTAAATATACAAAATAAATGAACAAAACAACCAAAAAACAATAAAAGCAATGTCCCGGTTAACAGAAAATGCACTTGAATAAATAGCCAAAATACAAATAAAATGGTTGTAAACAAAACCCGACCATACCCTAAATTATTTGTTATTAAAACATTAACACACAAACCACTGTTAATTTAACATAAAGCAAGCAGCTACTGCGTGCATTGTCTGGCATGACTGAATGGGCTCCCTTAATAATTCCAAAAAAGCTGACAGTTCATCATGATCTCACACATCTCTGTTATTACCAATGAAGCTGACTGCACAATGAATCTCATATAATATCTAGGCTACACTTTGTTTGTTATAATTAGAGGATTTGCCAGCATACAGAATTCAGCACTGAATAAAAAAAGTCTGTTTTGAGCAGTGAGGGAAGTATATCTTAAATGCTTCTGATTGGCGTTCAAGAAATCAACATGTGATTGGCTACATCGCTCAATAATGCAAACATGTTATACGTAAATAGAAACTCTAGCCTGTAAATCGTTACTACTTTGTTTTAGTTGTTCTTGCAGATGACTAAAAATCTATTAGTTTTTATATGTTTTATAAATAAATATTTCTAGTTTGCGGGAGTACCGCAAATCGGTTTATTCTCCCGCAACCCGCACACACAGAGTGAGTGCATTACCGCTTGCACTCGGCCATCGAATCTAGTGCAGCGCCGCACTCTATTGCGTTGGGAGTGCACGTCTCTAGATCTAAGGCCCGACCCGAGGATAGTGTCAGCCCAGGTCGGGTCAAGTCCTTGCTCGGTCAGAGAATCTAAGCTCTAGTTCACGCTAAGGAACCGAGAGTTTGTCATCCAGTCTCTTTGGTATAGAGAGACAGAGAGAGACGACGAGGAAAATAAACAAGCATGCAAATGTAAATTATCGTGTCCAGAAAAATTTGAGTTTGCCATGCCTCTATCATATTTGCTGAGTGACAAAAAATACCTTTTATTGACAGTGATAGACAGTTGACAAATATCTATACCAACATAAACATAAAATTTGCAACGTTACAGCACTCAGCATTAACCTGATGTTGACAATGGAGTTCTCCTGTAGCCTTATTTAGGTCAAAGATAAATATTTCCACTACATTACTGCCCTGGCCTACCTGTAAACCATTCCTTTGCTACTAGTCCACTCGCTCCACTATAAGGTATAGGCTTTCCTGATGCAAAGCTAATAATAGTAATAGTACAGACAGTAAAGGCAGAGACAGGTAAAGGTCACATTTTTTAGGATCTTAGGATGCCAATAATCAAGACAAGCAAACAGGGGAAAGTTATTACATACGTGTGTATCAATATGTGAAGACCCTAGAGATGTCCCCTACTCGTCTCAATCCAGATGGATGTGGTGCTGGTCCACTGGGAAGACCATACTGTAGTTCCAGCCGTAATGCCGGACAGAAGGGGAGTCACACCAACATATGGAAAGAAGTGTAAATGGATGGAGAAGCATAGTTTACTATAAAGCTACGTCTTAGTTTGTGCTAATCTTGGCGAAAGCCGAGTACAAATCTGCATGAAGTTTTAACATCTACTCTCGTGTAATGGAAATCATGTGCAAAATAACTTTTAACTAGATTAGTTAAAGATAGTGTTTCAGTTGTCTTTGAGGTCAATTAAAACACATACTTACTGTACAAAGGCAAAGACGCTGTGCAAAATGGGCCTGGGCTCTGAAAAGAGCCTTTGGGGTGTATGTAGCTCCTGTTGAGAAAAAGACGAAACATGAAAAGGAGTCAAATATATTGCAAATGCCTTTGTGAATTAATGTGCACTCAATTTATCTTTATTAACTAAAACAGTATGTTAAGAAAATGGCAATTCAGAACTGTAGGATGACTTCTAGATCAATCACTCACTGAAAAAAACAGAAAAGACCATTCTATTTTGTTTAACAAAGGTTAAGGCTCTATTTTTTATGAATAGCTGTGTGTCTTCACTTACTATCACTTTACTATAGCTAACCACTTCTTTGTATGACTGTCTAGTGGCATGCGCGCTTGTACTAAACTAGGTCTTTGATTGACAGGTCTACTTTTCACGGTAAACGCACAACAAAAGAGCTGCTTTAATTTTAAGCATATGTCACTTAAACAAAATAATTAAAAATCCCTTGAGTGTAAGGGGTTAATATTATAAATGGACAGATGTATGATTGTTTGGAAAAAAGTCAGTCCATAGTTTTATGACCGTTTATTAGTTTAGCCTGAGTGTTTTGGTTATCCTCAGACTGACGAAAAACGAGTTCCCCTCATGTCTAAAAATACATAGGCTACTGTCAAAAATAACTAATTGAAAATATTTAATGCGAGAACATAAAACAGTTAATAATTACTAAAGTCAACAGTTAGAAAATAACTGTTGATCCTCCGCCGCCAATCTCTGTCATCCGTATCGTAAACATTTCTCAGAAAACTCGACGTTTTCTAACAAAATTATATTTTTCAATGAAAAAATAAGTACATAAAACAAAATAAACACTTACTGGCCTGAAAACGGTGTGTTTGAAAAGGATAAACATACTCACAGAGTCCGTTGCTGTAGACTTAGCTGTAGGCTGTAGTGTAGACGATGCTGAGATCACTCACGCGCATAGCGCACCGTCATAAAAACGTGTGCACGCGCGTGAAGGTCTTGATGTGGACCAACGGTTGCGCAGATATTATTTATTTAAAAAAATAGAAGCGGGATCGGCAAAATGGTTCATCACGGTTCCTCCACCGATCTCCGGAGTTGTGCATTTAAAGTGGCTATTCATCCCGCGGCCCGCCGATGGTTTACCCACCAAAGTTTTTTGTTGTGCAGGGGAAAATCCCCTCCCGATACTTTGCCGCTGGTGCCCTCCAATTGCCAACGTCGGCAAGACGTTCAGTGCTATCTGGGTACACGCGCATACCGTTCCACAAAGCTGATGAACGATCACAGCTTCAGTACGGAAGGGCTGCACGTTTTCAAGTTTTTCATTAACCGTTAACCGAGGCCCTATCGGGTAATACTCGGTTAACCATGTGCGCGCCGCAACCTCGAGATACAGAGTTAATTTTTAACACTTTTAATAACTGGTTGGACCCCATTTGAAACGAAATTAATTTATAGAAATAAAACGCAGTGGTAAGTTCAGAGCAGTTAAAGTAGGCGCGTTTCCATCACCCTTCAAACTAAAATTGCCAATTGAAAATATGCACATTGGCAACACGTCCATTTCGCAAAAACTCTGTGGCCGCAAATAATAATAATAATAATCATTATTGTAACATTTTATAGGCTGCATATGTAGAAGACGCTTTTATCCAAAAAAGGAACAAAGCCCAAATAAACAATATTTTGACGCATATCCAGTGTGTGTGCTTAGTGTGGAGGCTGCGAGACGCCCATGTAAACACTTGCAGTTTCATTGCAGTTCTTTCAGTGGAAACAACTTAAAATACTCTTTCATTTCTGGTCATACAGAAAATAATAATACATTATTCGCAAATACATTTATTTGTGTAAACTCACAATAACAAGAAAACGTTGGGCTTCAACAAACAGGCGCGCTTCATGATCTCCGTGAACTGAAGCGCGAGACCTGAAACAGCCGCATTCGAATTTGTTCGTTTTAAATTGGACATTTAAAGCTTTAGTCTGAGTAGACTAAAGCTTTAAATGTCCAATTTAAAACGAACAAATTCGAATCAAAAGCCAGTATCTTCTGACTATGTAGCCTAGCTAAAATGTATTTCTCTCTAAAGGTGCATCCGGGGATGGAGATTTGTTTTAGTAGAAACTGATTTAGAAAACAATAGTTTATTAATAAACAATTAATGCCTCGTTATTTTATATTATTTTATTATCAGACACATTTATTATATCTTATAAATCATCTATAAATCCCCTTTCTGTAGGCTGTGGTTACGGCTCTTTCTCATTCAGCACTGCGGGGAAAATATCATTTCCAGGTTCTAATTTGGCCATTTTTCATCCATATTCATTTGTCAAATATTTTAAATGTTTAAAGGGGCAAAAAATCAAACAAATATCTGAAAATTCGTCGTATAGCCTATATATTTTTGCGCAGCATTTGAAGTAACATTTTGGTGTTCAACTCTGCGTTTTACAAAATACAACAACCGCTCATTTTTCGTTTTGCAATTAGGCCTACGGATTAAATAAGGGGAAACGAATGAACACAAAAGTAGCCTACACTGACCGGACATATACGAGGGAGAGTTCTTTTTTAAAATTCATAAAAGATACAAGGAATAGCCGACTAGACAAAACCTCAAAGAAATGCCACAATCAAGACCGCGGAGCAGAAATGAGGGAGAAACACACAGAAACTCTGTGATTTTTCCTGCCATTAATGCTTGGATGACACACCACGTCTCCTTCCATAAATAATATGTCTAGTGCGGTGGCTGTGATAGGCCTATACCAACCACCATTGCCATTATTTTTGGAATGGCTTATCGCAAAAGGAAAAAAAAAATGTTTTAGTCGCATAACACCGTTAATAGAAACGCTGTCATTTCACAATATTTTTTTATCGACAATCAGAAAAAAAAACGCAAAAGTTTTGTGCAAATATGTATTGACGCCACTTAACCAAGCAAAAAGGTTTCACTTGGTTATGCAATTTTAAACGGTTAACGTTAATCTGTTAACCGGTTAACCATGGACACCCCTAGTCTCTGCTTCGCTCCAGTTTTGTTCGTCCTTTCTTTGTTGATGACGAACACAAACTTTCTTCTAATATAAGAGCAACAGAGTCGCGCGATGGCACGAGCGTCATCAATATGACACACCCTTTACGGCATTGGTCCTGGCTTTTGTTCACACAGCGCGCGTTCCGGGAATGATTACGGCAATGTTACTAGGTCCCCAACCCGGAATCAATCCCAGAATCAATCCCAAGTCGTGTTTGCGTTCACACAGAAGGCGTTCTGGCAATTTCCTGGGATCAACTCTCTGTGTGAATGGGGCTAGAGAGAGAGAGAGAGAGAGAGAGAGAGAGAGAGAGAGAGAGAGAGAGAGGGAGAGAGAGAGAGAGGGAGAGAGGGGGAGAGAGAGAGAGAGAGAGAATGAAGAAAATTAAAGACTCTTTATTCTGTAAAATCACATCATCTTCATCAGCAAATAAAACAGAGGAGAGATCTTCATCTTCATCAGATCACAAAATACTAAAGTGAAAATGTTTGCAGAAATTTATTGTGAAATTAGACTCTGTGAGATATTGCGTATAAATATATACTGATATATTGAGTGAATAAATGAATATTGAGTGTTTTAGTTTAAACTTTTGATTCTTGTATGCATGATATACATACAGTCTCTGAGGTAGAAGTGTGCCTTCGGAGCGTGTGATTGGCTGAATCTGAGGTAGAAGTGTGCTTTCGGAGCGTGTGATTGGCTGAATCTGAGTTGGAAGTGTATGGAAGTAAAATAATGTCTAATGTTTTTGAAACAAATTGCACCAATTCACAAAAAAAAGCCTGCTTGTTGCCTGCAGTTAACCCTGCTTGCATTTTAATCCAATGTATTTTTAAGGCTTACATTTTTATGGACTGAAATTGAACATGGTTGAATATTTAAGCTGTGAATTTCAATTAAAAATATTTTTCATTATTAAAAATTCAATAATCCATATTAACCTTTCATATTTCACTTCCAAAATTTTCAAACTGTTTAAAAATACAACCTATAATATTCAACAGGCAATTTTCGGTCCATTTGATTTCGCCTTGAAAATTCGCTTCCACAAATTCAGCGGTTCAAATTCAACAGTAAATTCAACGGTGACATCCAGAAACTGCAGGAAAAGCAGTAGATTACTGAGCATACTCTCTATCTGCCGTTAGACGGCTTTACCAGCAGGGGGTGCACGCGCATGTTGAAAAGCACCAAAGCAACAGGAGAGGCCTTCACAAAACGTCATTTGCTGAAATGGACAGAGCGATGAGTACGAGTTATAATTTACATGTGTGTGGGAAAGATTGATTAAGACACAAAACACACGAGCCTTTACTCAAGTGTCTTGTTATGAGACTTATTTTTGATTTGTCCACAGCAAAACTAAATTCTCTCGCCGTTGGCATTGATAGTAAAACAACTGTAATACACTGAGACAGAGTGAATTGTTTGTTATAGTCACTATGACGTAATACTAAATTTATTTACTTTTTTAACTTTAATGATGGAATAAATTGCTTTAAGTGTCAAAAACAGTCTCTCTCTCTCTCTCTCTCTCTCTCTCACATACACACACACACACTCTCCTCTCTCTCTCTCACACACACACACACACGCACACAAACAAACACACACATCTTATCCTGCGATTGTCATACAGTATTGTAAAAGTATGGAAGCAAATGAGAGACATAACTATTTGAAATTTAACAGCCACTGAATACTTTTACTAGTTTTGAATACTAGTTTTGTATTCAATTTTATTTTGAAAAACATTTGTCTGAATTTATTTGCTCAGAATTCAGCCCTTTGAAATTATTTTACTTTGGAAACCATGCGTCTGAATTTATTTGTTTCAAATTTACCTCTGAAATTTAAAGGTGCAATGTGCAATGTCAAAAAGCTGAGTATCTATTACAGTTTTTCTCGATTTACACACATTTCCTGCAATTATGCCTCATGCTCTCAGAACTCTACACACAAATCTAAAAACACACACACAATCGGCAAAACCCCTCAATTCTAGTGCAAAATGAAACTTTACATTCAAAAAAATGTTATATATTCTCAAAATGTTATTTTGTTTTCAAATGACACACACAAACCATTATATGAATAGACATTTATAAGAACCAGTTAAACACTGATGTGCTCAATGTAAAACACTACGATCAATGTAAAACACTTCTTCTACATTCATCATAATGAATTGGGCCTTTTTTGTTCAGGGTTACACTTACATTACATACAGTACATAAGTGTGTTGTAAAATATTTGAGAATATTGTTTTTATACCCAAAAATACACGGTAACAAATATATTTTACTGTATTTTTCCCACAAAAACAATGGGAAATAGATCGCACATTTCATACACCCCAATCAACACAAAGTTGCACATACAGTGGTCTACATACAAAACATCAGAAATAAATGTGTATGCTGTTACAGTAAAAATCTATGCTGCATCCTCTCTTCGGTTTTGGTATTTTATGCTAAACCTCTGATTGCTAATTGTAAAACTGTGTGACAGGTGTTTGTCCATGTGACGAGTCAGTGTGAATATTTGAATGGTAGTGTGTTCCTCGTAAAAAGAAGAGATTTTTTGCATGAAAATTGTGCCAAGAATTTTAATTTGTGTGTAGTGTTTTGAAAAAAGTGTGTTTTAAAGCTGCAATTTGATTGTAAAGCAGGAATTGTGCTTGTAGTTCAGCAGAATTGGTTCAGGGGGTTGGTGAATGAGTTACATGTTGTGGCCATTGTGTCTCAAGTACCAGAATTTGTGTGTAAACAATTGAGAAAAACTGTAACAGAAATGCAATATGACATCCATAACTATGTGTTCAGTGGTGTATAAAGAACTTACTTAATAAACCGTAATGTTTTTATTACCTTAGAGAAGGACATTTATATCTCCATAACCAAATCGGGAATCCCCTTCCATGAAGGTCGCCATATCATGACTTCATCTTTCTACCGTAGCCGAACGTGAACAAACAGTGCTACAGAACGCGTTTTGCCACTACCTTGAAAGAGAAGCAGCAGAAAGCTAGAAACTAGCCATAAACTCTGTGAGTAGTGACTTTTCCCTTGTGAGTAGTGTAGAGAATAGTATATAAGTAAATTATTATATGTTGCATTTGCTACAGTAGTGTAAAATATGTAGTTGGGATTGTTTCATGTAACTTAGTTCTCCCTTGCTGTATTATGGGTTTGTTATGTGGGGATAAATGTGCTGTTATGTTCGTAAGACAGCTGATTAGTACTCATGTCATTGACCGTAAAACAGTATGTTACAGGAATCACTAACCCGTCGATCTTGTAAGAGATCTAAGTCGATAGCGAAGAGTTTTCAAAATCAGAGAAAAAGCCTATTGTGTGTAGTTTATGGTGTCTATGGGATGCGGAAATGCGCACGCTGTTACAATCATGTCATTTTTGCCGCGCGCACCTTTGGGCTCATGCGGACGCGTCGAGTGTAAACAAGGCTTTATGCTTTAACCAGTTCAGCCACAGTAACAGCTCATATTAGCCAGCTAAACTTTTACTAACTGAAAAAATATATAGCTGCATAGTTTCATGTGGTTCTTCTCACTCGCTGTATGATGGGTTTGCTATGTGGGGAGAAATGTGATGCTGGTTACATTTGTGAGACAATCAGCTGATCACTATTATTATATTAAATTATATATTAAAACCCTTGATCCTCACCTGACTATGGCTTTGTAAACTGTATCCATGATGTGGTTTATAATGGATTGTGGTACAGAAACAATGACAATGTTACACACTCATGGCTTACTCTGGCTATTCTCTGCTGTCTCAGCCGACGAGATGTTTGTCCCGTTTTAGCCACCGTAGCTTCTTCGAAAGGGAGGGGTGAGCAGTGGGCTAAGCCCTTAGTGCAAACCTGGTGCAAACTCGCAACCAAACCGCTAGATGTCGCTAAAAATCCCACACTGCACCTTTAAACAGGCCTATGAAAATTTCCATTTTAAAAACCTGAATTTCGATGAATATTTTTCAATGCTCACAAATTCAGATACAAAAAAATAAAATAAATCAACGTACAGAATTTCAGATAAAATAGATTTAGGTTAAATTATGAATTATGGGCGTGCTCAGAGTAGTAGCCATCAGCTTAAAAAAAACAATTTCTGGGTTATTTGGCTTGTTTGCTGCACTCTTTGTCTCACAACAGCTTTTAAACATTGTTTTGTTTTTTGTTATAAGTCATAAATGACAAGGAGGCAGTCTCTCGCAATGCAAATCAATGGAGACGGTTGGATTGTTTTTCTCCCCTGGTGGGGGCGTGAGCAGCCGGTAACAAGAAGTAGTTGAAGGAGAACGTCCTCATCTCAGTTCTCGCGCATGTGCCCATAAGGAAGTAATGGAATAGTCGAATAAAGTCGTTATTCATGTTTTTTTCGCAGAAAAAGTAGTCTCGTCGCTTCATAAACTTATAATTGAGCTGCTGTAGGCACATGGAATATTTAAACATTTTCTTTAATGACTTAAAGGGCCGTCAAGAGCCAGTCCCTTAGGCAGTCTATGTAGGAGTGATCCAGCTCTCAGATTTAATCAAAAATATCTTTATTTGTGTTCCGAAGATGAACGAAGGTCTTACATGGTTGGTACAGGATGGGGGTGAGTAATTAATGACTTAATTTTCATTTTTGGGTGAACTAACCCTTTAAAGTCTTGTGCTGTTTTATAAAGGCACAAAGCCATATCATGGTTTCGATTTTAGTTTGTTGGCAAAATATAGCGCTAGAGACCTTTATGTTAGGGTATACATTTTACATCTCATATGTGTTGGGAAAAGGGAGAAGAGAGAGTTCAGAAAAAGGCGGTTTCGAACTCGGGTCGAGAGCATCAAAAGCTTCAAGCCCTACAACCTGCGCCACCGTAGCTATTTCGTGACAAGCTTCTTTTGCTAAAAAGACAGACACTTAGTGCAAACATACGCTCCGTTATCTAAAAAGTAAAAAAATAAAAATTCTTCCCCTCGCTTGGGCCCCAAGTGCGCATGGCCAACTTGCAATAAATAAATTTGATCAGATCGGCCCTCGCGGCCTCGAAACACAACCGGCCCACAGGGGAAACTCCCGACTCTCCCGATTGCCACTCCGCCCCTGATGCCCAGGGCCCCTTAGATGTCATGGGCCCCTGAGGCAAGAGCCCAGTTGCCCTAATGGTTAATCCAGCCCTGGTGGTCTGTGAGTGGTGTGTGCATCTGGCTCCTCCTAAACGGACATCCTTTACTGTTCTGATCGGACAATCTTTGGTGGTTGCCACCGGGTATTAATTAGTCCTAAGAGCATAATAATCCTTTATACACAACAACAATAAAATAGCACAATGACAGGATTGATATGGTATACCCACGTTGTAACAAATAAATAAAAGATCTTTTTCACAAAAGTTCTCTTGCGCTTTTGCCTCCGGCATCGTCCTGTCAGTCATCGCACCTCACTCTAGTCATGTGACTCCTGTGACTCAACTTACCTCAGTATCTCCAATTTACACTTTATATTCTTCAGTCCAGTGCAGAGCAGCTTCACTCCTGAATCCTGCAGCTTATTATTGTTCATGTTCAGCTCTTTCAGATTGGTGTCTGATCCAAGAACTGCAGCCAGAGATGAACAGCTTTTGTCTGTTAAGTTACAATCATTTAACCTACAATAAAGTCACAACACAGAATTAGATTGAACACATACAATAAATTTTTTTAATATACTAATATTAATTAAATTAATTTTTCCACTTATTTTTTACATAAACAGCATATACAGCAAAGAGGCCGAGTTAAACTAACATTTACCTTTAAAAACTACAATTTCCTCAACAATAGTGTTTTTATACAGTGACAAATTTCCAAGACAAATTGAAGCATGTTTGAAAAAATATTTGTGTAAAGCTGTTATATCTATAGTATATTTTCTCTATTTATGTCACCTGATTGAGTTTAGGTTCTTGCCAGTGTTGCCTCTGTCTTTCTTAATTGGGGACGCTTAAAGGTAGTGTTTTTTTTTTAATTTCTTTAAACTTTCTTTATATATCAATGCATAATTAAAATCTAAGTACTCTGAAAAGGAAAGTATAAAAATCGAGTGTCTGTAGACCTCTCACGACTGTTTTAAAGACAGCTCATTATTTCCATTCACTTCACCCCCTCCCTTCTGGGCTCCTTACAAAGCCACGCCCCCAAAACATATGAACGCACGACTCTGACAGAGCTGAAGACGCATTATTTACCTGAGACGAGCGGAGAGGAGAGGAAGGAGTGCATGTAGTGACATCATGTCAGAAACACATGTAAATAAAAAAATCTAACTATCATTATGAATATAAACAAATAAGTTGTATTTTATTACTCACTATCAAGCTAGCATATTGATATTGGTAAAGTTTACAATATATATTTATTGATTCGCTAACGAGCTAGTTATCTATAAGGCAAAGCTAAAAACAGGTTGCATGATACACGTTTTTCCATTGCCATCATTTACACTGTGATCATAACATATATATGGTGTTCTGACTGCATGTAAGAGTTTGCTTGATGAAAGCATTGTTGATTCTGATGAGGACTACACTCCCAAGACAAGTTAGACAGTATAAGAAAGCAAGTACCGCATCGTCAGCTCGAGGACAGATCCGTGGTCGAGGTCGTGCAAGAGGCCGTGCTATTAGGGTCCAAGGAAGTAGAGGCCGAGGACAGGGTAGTCGAAGTGCAGGGCAAGGAGCACTTTTTAGACAAGAGGACCTGCGTCGAGTTTTGCATCTTCAAGCTCAAACAAGGGCATGCGAATAGGTACGATCTGGATGCACGCAAGTGGGCAGGTCCTGTGTGGCAAAAGGGCGGTTGCCATGGTTGCGAGAGAGTGACTGTCGCCAAAGCCAATCCATTGTTTCGTCCCGGTTCGAAATAATGAGCTGTGTTTAGTGCAGATTAAACGGTCTAGAGTTACTCGATTTGTATAATCTTTTTTTCAGAGTACTTAGATTTTAATTATGCATTGATATATATAGATAGTTTAAACAAATTTGGAAAAAAAGTTTATAAAATTCTGACCTACACTACCTTTAATATTAGGGGTGTGCACAAAAATTGATTCACATTTGTATCGCAATTCAAGCTTTACCGATTGAAAATCGATTAATAGAATTCCAAAAAAAAATTCACATATATATATATATATATATATATATATATATATATATATATATATATTAGGCATAACATTTTTTAAAAAAAAGTTTGGTTATGGTTGGATGTCAGTTGAGGTCATGGGTTGGTAGGTTTTTTGTTTTTTTCTCCAGTGGCAGCAAGGGATAGAAAGGAAATTACTTTTTATTTTTATATTTTTTTTATTTTACTTTTCAGTAGCGATGGATAGGCTACTCTGTTTTTTCAATAACATAGCCTACCTGTACATGTACTCTACCACCTTGTGTGTCCCAGCATGTTACACACACACAAGCTGATTTTAAATGTGTGCGTGGGGGCAAACAGGGTTGCCTTATTGTAAAGTGTTATCGATTAGTTATACACCGATTCAGACGTCTCGTGAGTTCAGTGTTGGAAAGATTAGTTGCTTTAACCATTCATTAAAATGAATTGGACGTGTCATTATCGGATGTGTGCGCGTTGTGATATTATCCCGGCAGTTAGGACATCCCACAAGATTTGTGTCATCACAGAAAACATTTCATCACTGGATATTTTTTTCGTTTATTTAAAGTGTGGTTTATATGTCAGCTGAATGTATGGAACGCTTTTCAGAGAAGATAAGGCAACGTATATTACCACCCAGCGATAATTTAGGAAAAAAATAAATCTCCAAATGATCCACATGAAACTTTAGTCTTCCGAACTTGCCATCGTCTTGATTTATCTTGATTAATATGTGCGAGGGAGAGAGAGCAAGTCTTAGTTGTGAGACGGGACTCTCTCTCTCTCTCTCTCTCTCTCTCTCTCTCTCTGTCTCTCTCTCTGCTGGTTCAGTTCATGCTGTCACAAGCGCAGCAGTGCATCTACATGACAACAACGATGTGTTAACGCCTGTGGGTGCCTCGTTTGTTAGCATTGCTGGAGACAACAGGCTATACAAATACGGTGCTCTACAAAAACATAAATTCTAGTTTGCCTCAAAGTTTTTATTTGTGTATTTACTTAATTTGTATTATTTCTGCCCCAAGCTCATAAAATAAATTTGGGTCGCACATAAATTGACAGGGTCGGTTGGAGACTGGAACCGAACATTTTTTTTTTTATGCCGTAGTGGTGGGCATAGATTTTTTTTTAAATCTAGATTAATCTCACGGTAATCTTGGAATTAATCTAGATTAAAATGGCTCATTTGAATTCATGAAGGCATTCAGGCATTGAAGGCATTCAGAATATGTATGCTACCCAAATAAATAACCTTGCAGGTAGTTTGTAAGATGAGCAGGGGCGGAGCTAGACTCTTCATCATGGGGCTCTCTGCTACCAAGACATTTTAAAATTAAAACCGTACAAAAATATAGATATCTGATGAATGCATATGTAATGTCTCACTTGTTGAGGCAAGTAAGCTTATGTTAAATAAAACACAAAGACTACCTCGTTATTTTCCTTTTAATGCGCCCGATTTATATTTTCTCTACATTTTCCTAATTGTTCTCTACATTATACATTCGGACCTCATGGGACCCACTATACGGTATTAAATCGGCTAGGTATACATCTCCGCTAAAATATCAAGGTGAAAGTCATCAAAGCATGTATAGTATAGACCCAGCTCCCAACCCAACTTTGAGAATAGATTAACGGCAATATGTTTTTATCGCTCGATAAGAGTCTCACTTTAACGCAGCAAGTTAACGCCGATAACGGCCCACCATATTATATTTTGTAATGGCGTGCAGGGGCGGAGTGGCAATCGGGAGACTCGTAGTGTTTCGAGGCCGTGAGGGCCTGTCTGATAATAGTGATAAATTGTAAGTTCTTAGCAACAGCATCCGGGGGACTGGTGTGCGGCCGCTGCCCGCTGGTCAAACTGTATAGCCTCTCTGCTCAACCCGTAAATGAATCCATCGATCTGCATATTTTGTTTGAGTTCTTAAATGGTCTAGTGCTAGATCTTTTGCCAAGCGTGTCAGAAGTTGCAGGTTATAATCTGCACTCATATAGTTTTTTCCTCTCTCTCATCAAAACCGAATATGTTCCTCAGTGGTTACAGTCTATATCAAGCAGGGACACATTTATGTGCATTTTATTTTGTGATTTCATCGGCGATACGGCAATAGATTGAAGAGTGCGTCCGAGTGAAGACTGTGCGTGCGCCACAAGAGTATGAAGTACCAGGTTGACTGGTGGTTAAGTTCTTCATTTAGCATGATTGTTTGTTTGATCTGACTACAGCACTTTAAAGCTAAATATAAAAGCTGTTTATTTAAGTTTTATTTTAAACTTAAATTAAATGTATTTGAAAGCGGGCCAAAGCTTGGCATTTTGCACTTTTTAGTTGCAAAAGTTTTTATTTTTGTATGAAGATATAATGTAATAGCAAAATACATTTAATTTGTTGTGTTTCTTTTCTTTTAAATTGTATGTCTACTGCAATACTGTTTTTGCAAAAACTACAATAAAACCTGTTGGAAAGCATCTTTTGCAGTGATTTTTGTGTGAGCATATCAGTGAACACCCCAGACCCCTCGATGAGTTTCACGTCTTAGTAAACTAAAGTTTAATGCGTTTTATGAATGATTGTTCCAGTGCACATAGACAACCATTGTGTAGGTGGAGGGTGCTAACACACAAACCTAAAATTCTCGGGACAGCAGCATTTGTCCAAATTTCAATCTTAACAGTTCTATTTCATCAGAAACAATCTTAAAACAGGGCTTTAAGTGTAAAATACCGAACTAACCCTTTAAACTACAGTAGTACTCAAAGAAATAAGCATTTAAATATATAATTACTGGGAGAGACTGAGGGACAACTAGTATATGATGTGGTGAGATGTAGGTATTTTATTTTAGTAGCCTGTTTTATAAAAATCTCAATGTTTTATCTATAACCTTTCAAAATTTCATATTACGTTTTGGAAATATAAATAACATCTATTCTGTACCAAATTACATTATTTCCCCCAGTTTGGGTATATTATTAAAATATGGATTTTTTCTACCTCAAGTATGAGTATGTGATAATATAATTCTATATAACAAGTCATACAAGTCTGGTGTATCATATACAATCAATCATGCAACATTTTTACAAGATATTTATATTTTGTCTTAAATTGTGATAAACTGTCTCCACACACACACACACACACACACACACACACATGCACACGCACACACACACACACACACACACACACACACACACACGCACACACACACACACACACACACAGGTTTAGCTTCATGTTTATGATGGGGAATAACTATTGAGATACATGCATTTTTCAAATGAGAGTTAAACATGACGAAAAAATATATAAAGACTTACAGAGCTCTTCTGGAGGCTTTAATGACTGCCGATAATTTAATGAGGCACTCGTCTGATTTCTTGAATTTCTGAAGCTCAAACTCCTCCAGCTCCTCCTCTGATGTCAACAACACAAAGACTAAAGCAGACCACTGGGCAGGTGAAAGGTCACCAGATGAGAGACTTCCTTTGCTAAGGTGGGTCTGAATCTCGTTCACCAGAGTTTGGTCGTTCAGTTCATTCAGACAGTAGAACAGATTGATGGATCTCTCTGCAGGAAGATTAGCTTCTAATTTCTGCTTGATGTACTGAACTATCTCCTTGTTCCTCCGGTCAGTGTCGTCTCTCTTTGTCAACCGACCTCGTAAGAGTCGTCGAACTATCCCCTTGTTTCTCCAGTCAGTGCCGTCTCGCTGTGTCAACAGACCTCGTAAGAGTCGTCGATTGGACTGGAGTGACAGACCGAGGAGGAAGCGAAGGAAAAGGTCCAGGTGTCCATTGTCACTCTCCAGCGCCTTGTCCACTGCAGTCTTGAGAAAATCAATCATGGTTTCATTTCTGTTTTTCTGTTCTGTAGACTCATGATCAAACACACTTGTCTTGTTGATGTCTAGAAACAGATGTGCATAAAGGGCTGCAATAAACTCTTGAATGCTCAAATGAACAAAGCAGTACATGGTACCAAGAACGATCCCTGTTTCCTCCTTAAAGATCTGGGTACACATGCCTGAGTACACTGATGCCTTATAGACGTCAAGACCACAGGCTTCCAGGTCTGAGTCATAGAAGATCAGGTTGTTTCTTTCCAGATGATAAAATGCCAGTTTCCCCAGTGAAAGGATGGCGTCTTTATCCCAGGAAACATCTGGTGTGTATTCTCCATCATATTTCCGGCGGCTCTGCTGGATCTGAAAGCGGAGAAAGTGTGTGTACATTTGTGTCAGAGTCTTGGGAGTGTTCTTCAGTGTTTGATTCCTGCAGTGTTTTAGAGATCTCATCAGCCTGAGTGTTTCTCACATCATTATTTCTCTTCTCCTCCAGAATGTTCTGGAGAACAGTGGCTGAAATCCAGCAGAAGACTGGGATGTGGCACATGATAAAGAGACTCTTTGATTGTTTAACACGATCTATGATTGTGTTGGCTTGAATATCATCCTTGAATCTTTTTTTGAAGTACTCTTGCTTTTGTGCGTCGCTGAATCCTCGTATCTCTGTCAGCCGGTCGATACAGTCAGGAGGAATCTTACTGGCAGCTGCTGGTCTGCTGGTGATCCAGACGAGAGCAGAAGGAAGCAGATTTCCCTTCATGAGGTTCGTTAGGAGAACATCCAGAGAGGCTGGTGACGATACATCACGCCACGTCTCATTACAATCAAACTTCAGAGGAAGGCGACATTCGTCCAGTCCATCAAGGATGAACAGCACTTTGAACTGATTCCTTCTTGTAAGGTTCAGTCCTTTTGTCTCTGGGAAAAACTGAGTTAAAAGGTCCATCAAACTTAGTTTTTCTTTCTCCTTTAAGTTGATCTCTCTGAATGGAAGAGGAAATATGAAGCTGATATCTTGATTTTCTTTTCCTTCAGCCCAGTCCAGAACAAACTTTTGCACAGAGACTGATTTCCCGATGCCAGCGACTCCTTTTGTCAGTACAGTTCGGATCTCCTCGCCTTCTTCATGCGTGTCAAACAAATGTGTGCATTCAACCTGTATCTCTTGTGCTTCATGACGTCTGGAAGCAACTTCAATCTGTCTCACCTCATGTTCAGTATTGACCTGTTCACTGCCACCCTGAGTGATGTAGAGATCTGTGTAGATGTTATTCAGGAGTGTGGCGTCACCTTGCTTCACCATTCCTTCAAACACACATTGATACTTCTTCTTTAGGCCACATTTCAGCTGATGAATGAAGAACAGCTCACCTAAACACAGGAACAGAAAATAGATAGTTTTAGTCTTCACTTTCTCTACATTTATAAGAGACAATCAGACAGATGATGACGAGTCTCTTGCCTTCTAGAGCATCAGCAGCTTCATCTTGCTTCATCTCTCTCAGGTAATGTAGTGTGAGATCAAGAGCTGCTGATTTGATACTGGATCTGTTCTCATTAAAGTCCTTCACAAAGTGTTGTGTGTTCTCATGTTGTAATATTTTCTTTAACTTCTCCAGTTCATTCTTCAGAAATGTGATTATTTTTCTCTCAAGATCCTACAAACAAAAGTAAAAGAAAAGGCAGAATACACAATTTAAGCCAAATTGTACATATACATTTGGTATCAACAATTTATTCAATAATTATGATCCATGTATTTAAAAAATCCAGTTAAAAGAATAACATGCTAACCAAGTTGTGCCAAAATGTGTTTAAAAGGAAAAAAAAAAAAAAAGATTAATTAAATTTCTTTGGTCAATAACATATTTGTTTGTTATAATATTAAACATTTATACAAATGTTTTTTCTTACCTGGAAGATCCCAAGAAGATTGTCTTTGAAACTCTCGTGTTTCCTGTGAGTCTGAAGGTCTGAGTCTAATGTCTCATATCGAAGCCTGTAATCACATTAATAAAACACTAACTGATATTTTACAGAAAGAGAAATAAGCATTAGCTGTGAATACTCTGACAAATATTTGATCTAAACATATTTCATGATTGGTATTCACTGATACAACTTTTAAAGAGTCAACGTGTGTCAAAATGAGTAACACAAAATACCTTTTATTAGATGATGGTGTTTTCTCACTGAAGTCTGGTACTCCACCTTTAGACCGATCACTCTTCAGAGACACAGAGCTGGACACATGTGAGCCTGATCTTACACTGATGACACAAAGAACATTTGAAAATGTTTAATGTTGCAAATAGTAATTAAATGTAGTATAGCTGTGCATTTGTTCATTTATAACTACGGTTTGTAAGGCCTGCTAAATCGATCCAATGGCGGTATTGGTGAAGGTTTCATCCGTGTTCGTCTCTTCCCATGGCAAAGGGATTTTTTATTAAATGTAATACATTTTAACTTATGTATTAACTCGCTTCATCTGACTCCATAAAATGAAAAGGTTTTTCAATGATATCTGTGCATCATTAAATACATGTTAATGTTTGACTATTCCTTTTTACTCTAATGAAAATAAAGTCAAAATCTGTTTATTTTGACAATTTATTATGTCAGCTAAATGTATGATGTCAATTTCACAATCAGTTCAAAGATCATCAATCCAAATAATCAAATGGTCCAGAATAAGAGGAAAAGATGTGAACCCAACATTGTATGCTACGTGAGTCACGAGACCCTCAACCACACGGGCTAATCTGAGTACAGAAAAGAGCCCTGAGCTCTCCGTTGCATTTCTTTATATATCCAGACCTCCTTTGATATGTAGAACATGAGTTTACAGTGGGAAAGTTACTGCGCTCAGACATGAGTGTGTGTGTGTGTGTGTGTGTGTGTGACCATCTCTCACTCCACACACATGTAAAGCGTCTGCTGTTGTGCGGTCAGACACGTGTGTGTGTGTGTGTGTGTGTGTGTGTGCGTGTGTGTGACCATCTCTCCCTCTGCACACATGTGAAGCATCGGCCAGATTTACTGGGGGTAGAAATTACTGGGCTGACCATTTGAAAAGGAACAGTGGAAATTAGCATTCACGAGTTTTGCATTAACCTTTTGGAAGTCGAGACCACATTCCTTTGTGTGCCAGTTATTCCTAAACTCTTAAAAAACGTATTACCTTTTCTTTTACTTATCTGGAAATAAAACACTTGTACCATTCACACTGAGACATTTCAACTAATACTAAACATATGTATAAAACTTTATGATAGTTGTTCAGATTAAACCATATATATTCTTATGTGAGTTTGGCTGATCAAACAAATGTCCCATCTCGTTCAGGCGGCAATCGCGTTTCGGAGTCGGGATAGACAGAATTGTCATTTGCATGGGCCATTATTGCATCATGAGTAACTACAGTTTACCATTTTGCACGTCTGAAGTCCTACCAGTTTAAACATTCAGGCGATCTTGAACTATTTGGTAGACTTGCGCGCTGAGAGATGTTTTTTTCTGCACACATACAAGCCGCCTCACACACTCGCGGGTAACAACAGTTATTTTTGTGGATTATATCGCGTTAACAGCCAAAAACATGCGACAATTATGTATATTTCAGTCTTGGTGACTGGTGTGTATCCTCTAAACATCTTGTTTTAAATAAGCATACATCGCACGTGACATTATGTTAGTGGCTACAGGATCTGTGCACAAGCTCTTCAGTGACAGCAGCCATGGTCTGTCATTAATCTGGTTGTCAAATTCAACAAAACATGGCTTTCATTTTAAGGAATCAGGAATAATATACTATGTATTTAATTTAGTTCTCAGGACTAAAACACTACCCAGTGTTATTTTACATTTGATTACTTTATTCAGTCTCTGTAGGACTATTTCTGAAAACTGGTGTCAGACCTAAGCAATAACTTTTCTCTTTATATGTAGGCTATCTATATTCTATTTTTTCAATTTTATTCAAAGATTGAAATCAAGCTTCCTTGTGTTGTGTAAATTCTTAAGAACAAAATTACCCCATTGTAAAAATACAATGAATGAGCATTCATTTTAGGAGATAAATGTAATAATAATAAAATAAAAAAAGAGTCTAGACTCCCCCCTCAAATTAAAAATCTGACAAACAGTTTATGACATCCTTCAAGAACTTGTGTATATCAGAACATTCCCATAGACAGTTACAGTTCCTTTATTATTTTGGCATTTTGTATATATATCAGGAATATTGCTAGACATATGATTGAGTTTTTCAGGTGTTATATAAACCTTTGTCACAATACTGTAATAATTTAATCTGCGTGTTTATAATTTGTTTTTGCGCCTACTTCAGTCCATTCAAATCCCCCTATTTCTTCTTGTCTTGAATGTACATAATATCTGTAGACCCGGAAGACATAAAACTTTTAGGCTGTGAATATTTGAGGGAATCTGGTGTTTGTCACACAATTCTTGAATGTAAGAAGTATTTCATCAATACACAAGTCTTTAATAGTCTGAATACCTTTAGTTTTCCATAGTTTAAATCTTCGGCCTTATATTTATCATTATTTATTGTTAGTTTCTAACTGGTCTTGATGAATGTGAAGGGGTCATGTTTGCCTTCATGTTTGCTATTGATTACAACAGTTATAAATGTTGTAAGCTATTGTATTTTGCTGAAAATCTTAAATGTGTTGATTAAATGAAAACAGGTTTACATAGTTTACTGACACCTATTGGTTATTTACTGGTTCTACTGCCTTAACAATGACACTCCCAATGGATAAGATGAGGATAATTTAATAGCATTTAATATAGCTCCGTGTACGTATGAATAATGAATATCAGAAAATAGTCTGATAGACTGTTTAATATACAACACATGACTTATTTTGGCATACAAACAACCAATTTGTAACCAAAGACTAGGCTATGTAAAAGCTACTTTAATTAGTAACTTTTGAAAGTTTCAGATTTCAATTCATAAATAACATAGATAGAGGGGGACCCAAAAAATGCAGTCTGCCTAGTGTAGTCCTTTTATTTAATCCGGCTCTGAACACACACAATACCTTTTATTAGATGATGGTGTTTTCTCACTGAAGTCTGGTAAAAGTCCTTCTTTAGAGTGATCACTCTTCAGAGACACATAACTGGACACATGTGATCCTGATCTTACACTGATGACACAAAGAACAGAGAGAGAGAGAAAACACTTTAGTAAAGGAGGATCAACTGTGTCTGAAACACATCTGTGTCTTCATCTTATCCTCCACAGAAACACACACACTCACACAATGGGCTATATGCACACATAAGTTCCGCATTTGACATAAGGATGCTCGTCTGTTTCCGGTTGGGGAGATTAAAGCGGAGGAAAATGTGATTATGGCAGAGTCTTCAAAATTTCCTTTCCTCCCGTCTTTGAAATTAAACGTTCATAGGTTTAGATGTAATTTTATATATAGTTATGTTTATTTAATATAATTTTAAAAAGAAGCATAAGCACAACTAAGGGTCTGTTTTATCTGTTTATGTGACTAATGTTTCTTTACTATAACCATGGAGTATAAAATTCAATATAAATTCTCTGTATTGCATTGGACTCTACGATCGGCGGGAGTTATTGAGCATCCTTAAACCTTCACTGGAAACACCGCCGTGCATAGAGCCCATTAACAGTTTTATAGTTAACCATCATTTTACTGGCTCACATTAGGCTTAACAATTTCTTTAATATACATGAGTGAGATTAAACATGTTGGGGATTTATAAGATACTTGACCATAATTTAAGAGAACATTTCAAGTTTTTGATTATTGACAGAATAGAGAGCAGAAATGTCTGTGTGACAGTTTTGTTAGCATATTTGAATTAAATTAAGTGTACATTTGTTTTCTAATGTCTATAAATAATTTTATGATCTAAAAATTAAAGTAATTTATTTGGATTAATTCAGCGTCTAGAAGGTTAACAAATTATTAACTGTGATATTTTCTATAGAGCAAACAGGGCTTTATGGACACTGGCAGAGTTGCAAATATAGAGCAATGGTTAAAGTTGTGTTATTGACAGGGAAACACAAAGTCCAGTGGAGTTTAAAGTGAGAGTGTAAAAACAGACGCAGTCTCACCTGTGTTTCTCTGAGAGACTCATCTGAGAGAGAGAGTCCTTTCCTCTTTCCTCTGACATACTGCAGCTAAACTGACCCTGAAAACTGATCAGAAAACACTCAATCCTTCAGCATCACCTGCAAATCACAACATTTACACACATCAACAACATCTTATTGACGAATAAAGAGTTAACATCAACAACAGCAACAGCAAAAACAATCTATCAAATAAAAGAGTTTTTGATTATTTAGGCTAATGAGTTTAACTGACTCTAAATATGAATTCATTGGGGAACAGAAATGTACACTGAGCTGGAAAACTGAACTCAATTTGATATATTCTCTATTCAGTTTAATAACAGCAGATTGTTTGACGTTAGGCTTCATCTGTCTGTCTACTGTAAATGTCTTCTTCAAAAATACTTTCGATTTCACATCACACAAACAACAGCCTAACACGGAAGAGGAAATGGGAGAAAACGTTTTAGAAACATATTCGTGTAGAATAAACGTTTCTCAATAAAACGTTTTGTGTTTTAACTTCAAAAGATTGTAATTTCAGTCAGATTCTTCTTCTGTTCAGAGTAGCAGAAGAACAGCCTTCTGTAACTTCACATTTAAATCTCGCTTAATATACAATATGAAGTTCCTAATAATTGCAAATGACTGTAATGGAGAATGTAATAAACTTACTTGCAGTCTTATATTTGGTTGGTATTGTGCTAAATCGACATTTGTAGACATGTTTTCTGAATCATAGATTAAATCAATTCCAGTGAGCGACAGGTTTGGGTGTGGACAGGTGTTGCTTTAGTTTTCTTCTTCTTCTTCTTCCTTTTATTGGCGAGTCGCATCGATTTCGTGCATTACCGCCACCTACCGTGATCCAGAGACTTCAAGCCCCATTTCCCATTCTAACACACTATATAAACATAGCCAGCGCTGCGTGTTCAGCTCCTCTGGCTTAAAAAAAAACCCTTTCAAATCCTGTCAATTAATCCTGTATTTTTCAAATATCTAAATAATGCTTCTTTATTATCATTTTCCTGTTCTGGTTTTAATATTATTCTCAAAGTTATGTCCGTTTCCTCTTTTCTCTGAATCTCTTCAAATAATTTATCTCTATCCTCTTTATATTTTTCACAATACATGATAACATGCTCTACTGTTTCTTCCTCTCCACACCATTCACAAAGTCCTGTTGGATGCTTGGATATTAATTTCAGTGTTTTATTAAGTCCTGTATGTCCTATTCTAAGTCTTGATATTATGTTTTCCTCCCTTCTACTTCCACCCGAGAACCTCTTTTCCCCCACTTTTGGTTGAATTGCATACATACTTCTTCCCTTAATTCCTGTTTCCCACATTCGTTGCCATCTTTGTTTTATTTGATATTTAATTATTGCTTTAATTTCATCTCTACTATATGCTATATCCATTTCTATTCTGTCCTCTTGCAATGCTTGTTTAGCCATTTTATCTGCTGCCTCATTCCCTTTTACCCGCTGCCTCATTTCCTTTTACCCCAACATGAGCCGGTGCCCACATGAATTTTACTCTCACTCTTTTCCGCTGTAACATATATAATTCTTGTGCTATCTCTATCATGTCTTGTATTGGACTGTTGTGCTTCAATGCACATAAGAGCAGAACTAGAGTCTGAACATACAACCACATCCTTCAATCCTGCCTCATTTATCCATCTCAACGCCATCATTATTGCAACTAATTCCCCTGCAGTGAAAACTGATAGACTATTTGATATTCTTATTTTCTTGGATATCTGTAGTTTTGGAACAACAAAACATGCTCATTGTCTGGATTTTTTGATGCATCCGTAAATACCTGTACTTTATGTCCATAATTTAACCATAAGGAGTCCCTTACCTGGATTGCCTCTCTTTCGCTCTGACCTTCTTTCTGCCTGATTTCTAATATTTTTAAATCAACTTCTGGCTGTGGCATTATCCACAAAGGGACAGCTGGTATCACCACTCTTGGAGTAATTTTTAGCTCTTTAATACCCAACTCTTTTACTAAATCACCAATCACCCATCCAAAACTATCACACTTCTTTTTCCCATACTCCCAGCACTGCTCTAATACCCTTAAAGTAGGATGAGATTTATCCTGTCCCATAAGATTTGCCCAGTATACTGCATTTAACTGTTGTCTTCTTAACTTGAGAGGCATATCTCCTACAGTACCTCTACCTGCAGCGCTGAAACAGGAGAAGATGGGTACGCTCCACAACAAATCCTTAATGCTTTTGCTTGAATTCGCTCTAATTTGTCCAAGTGAGTTTTTGCTGCTGATCCATATACTACGCTTCCATAATCAATTACTGATCTAATTAACGTTACAATGGTTTTCAGTGCCAGCCTATCTGCCAGACACACATCTCATTATATTCAACACTCTTTTACACTTTTGCTCTATCTTCTCAATATGCTCTTTCCATGTGAGTCTATACTGTCGAACCAGATTCCAAGAAACCTTATTTTGGATACCCGTTCTAGACTGATGTTATACAATTTTAATTTTATTTCATCGTCAATTCTTTTATTAGTGAAAAACATAACCTGAGTTTTTTCCACTGAAGATTTAAATCCCCACTTTAGTGACCATTCCTCAATTCTTTTAATGCATTTAGCATTTTCCTCACAACATACTTTATATCCCCCTCTGAACCATAGAGCTCCATCATCTGCAAACAAAGATCTGCAAATATTTTTATCCACCCTCTTAAATACATCATTTATCATGATTATAAAAAGCAATGGACTAATGACACTCCCCTGAGGACATACCTTTTGATGATATGCACTCTCCCACTCTTACTTTAATTGATCGATCTTCCAGAAATTCTTTGATCCAATTATACTTTCTCCCTCTTTTCCAGTTTCAGTAACAACCCTTCTCTCCACACCATGTCATAAGCCTTTTCAATGTCAAAAAAACACAGCTAACACAATCTCTTTATTACTCAATGCCTTTCTAATATCTGCCCCCCCCCCAAATCCACTCTGATTTATAGATAACAACTTCTCTTTTTCCAAATAATACATTAATCTGTCTGTAATCAATTTTTCCACTATTTTACATACATGGGAAGTTAGTGCTATTGGTCTATAATTTGTTGGAATACTATGATCGTTACCTGGCTTCCTTATGGGAATAACTATTGCCTCTTTCCAGCTCTTAGGTAACACTCCTTCCGCCCATATCCTGTTTAGCAACTCCAATATTACTCCCAATGCTTTTTCACTTACATTTTTGATCATACTATAGCTTACTCCATCTTGCCCAGTTGCAGATTCTTTCACTCTTTTTAATGCTCTCTTTAATTCTGCCATTTCAAATGGAGCATCTAATACACTGTTCAAAACTTCCCTTCTGTCTTTCACTGTCGGATTTCTTTTTAACATCTCTTCTCTAACTTTCTTTCTCTCTTCACACAGGTTTCTAGAGGAGTTAACCTTAATAAACTCATCTCGAAACATTTTTGCCTTTTCTTCATCTGTTACTGCCACCTCCTCTACCATTTTGAATTCAAATTCCTTACTTATTGCTCTCATTTTCTTCAATCATATTCCATATCTCTTCTACTGGAGTACTTCGCCCTATTTCATTACAAAATGATCTCCAATACTCCCTTTTTGTCTTTCTTACATCACAGGGATTGATGGTCAGACAGTCGAATTGGCACAGTCTTATAAATATTTAGGCACTTTCCTCGACAATAAATTGACATTTAAGAAAAATACTGACTCAATTTACAAGAAAAGCCAGCAGTGTCTTTTTTGTCTTTGAAAATTATCTAAATTCCAGGTTGACTCTACTTTGATGACTTTGTTTTATCGTTCTTTTATTGAGTCTACTATTACATTCTCCTTTGTTTGTTGGTTTCAATCCTTGAGGGTAAAGGAGAGGAACTTACTGAACAAGGTTGTTAGTATTAGCAGTAAAATTATTGGGTGTCCACAAGAAACCTTAATGGATCTTTACAAAAAACAACTGTTTAAGAAAGCAAACTCCATCTTGACTGACTGTTCTCATCCTTTACATCAACAGTTTCAGTTTTTACCATCAGGTTCATTGCTCAGAAACAACCCGATTTAAACACTCCTTTGTTCCGTCTGCTGTCTCTCTTCTTAATGCGGGAAAGGGAAAGGTTGATTACACATCTTGGAATTGATTAGAATGTTGAAGGGGTGGTCAAAATCCCTTGCCTCTTCAGTATATATTTCATAATATCATTTTGAATGATTATGTATTTCTTTTATAAAATCAATAATTAAGTATATTCATTGTTACTTAATCATTTATCTACATATAAATGTATTCTTTGTGCTTTTGCTTGTGAAATAATATTCTTAAATGCATGCTGATGTAAGTCACCAGCTTCTTTTAGGTGCCATTTGTCTCTTTCTCTGGTCTCAGGAGAAAGGTTTATGGATCCCAAAGGCGTCATGAACACATATGTCCAACACATATGATACTTCTCTGTACAGATGGTCAAGCTATATTAAGCATTGCTTTATTGAACTTTAATTGTTATATTAAACTGTATTCTTTCTATTATATTTGCTTTCTGAGGAGCAAATGTTATCTGTTTTTCTCCCAAACGAGTGAATGTTTTACCATTATGTTTTGGTACACTTAACTGATAATAAGACGCTCAGACTCTCTTCAGCCTTGATAGGAGCTCTTATTTGCTAGTGTCCTAGGTGAATGCGGTAACAGTGAAAATAATAGGGAAATAGGGATTTTGGTTTATGTTTGAGTGTTAAAACATAAAGGGGTCATTGAATCCAACAGTTTAAGGCACTATTTCTTTGTTAAAGTCTTACTCCAGACTAAAGTTTAGTGTTAGTCTTCTTAGTTGCAGGTTAAGGAACCACTGCCATTATTGGAGATTGAATGAGTTGTTCTGGACATACTGGCGCCAGCAACCCAAATCTGTGACCTGGAAGGTCATGACGTGCCTCATCGATGGAGATATGTTTCGTCTATCTGTATATGTGTGGAAAATTACTGTGTTTATCTATATCTTAGCCAATGAGAATCATTCAACGTGTAAGCAATGACGTAGCTTTTGTGAGATAGCTTTTTGACGTAGACCTTGAAAATGGTATAACTGCTGTGATTGTGGTAACTGTAAGGGGGGCGGCCTACGAACTCCTGAGTGAGTCTTGAAGCTGACTTCTGCTGATGAAATGGCAAACTATGTTCAGTAAAACTTTCTTTAATTTTTTATAATTCCGACTCCGGGTCTTCATTCTTCATATCTGGTTCTGGGTCCTCTGACTGTTAACCCCTAACAATGTGCATTTTGTTATATTTTATTATAGTATGTGTTTTTTATTTATTATACTATGTGTATTTATGTCTGTAAGTTTGTGCTCCACTCAAAAAAATGAACTATAGGGAGGTTGTGCACTTTACATAATATATTTATATATAGTTTACTTATAATAATTATATTTTTGATTTTAAATGGGTTTTTTTTCTATTAAGGTCTATGTAATTGTGTCTCAACTTAACAGTACAAAATCCTAATGTGTTGTCTAAACACAAACCATTTATGTTAAGTAAAAAAAAAGTGTACATCCAGAGGGTGGCAGTATAGTGCGAGCCGACTGCCATTTTGCCCGAACTTAATTTTATTGTGTTCAATTTGCTTAAATCTACGAACAACTTAAGTGAAGGGGAGACTTCACTGAGGGGACAAATAAAGGTATTGAACAATACCATTCTCCTACTACTGCTTGAGTCACTTTATACTTAACTAAATTTTGGAAATAATGTGTTCTCTTCAATTTCCTAAATGCTTTCCTTTCATTTCTTATAGCTTCATTACATTCTTCATTCCACCAAGGAACTCACCAGAGTCTTCCTCACCTCAGCTGACACTGAAATTATTAACATTTGCAAGAATGAGTGAACTTCCCCACGCCCCATACCATGCGATCCAGATGTAAATGAACTGAACATTATTATTTCTGACTCTCATTTGAACCTTCCAAGTGACCCACATCAAGCTGAACTTATACATGCATTTAAGAGATCAGGCCATTACTGTAAAAACTACAAGATCCTTTGTATCTGAAACGTGTTTATAGTCTGACTGACTTACATTGTGTTACGCTTACATTGTAGACAATACTGTCCCCAATTCTTTTTATAAAGAATTACAATGCATGAATTTCATAAAAAAAATATATATATAAATGTATATAAAAGTTACTGAGGAAAGCTGTTTATTATTTCAGACACAGTTGAACCAGTCACATGTAAACTTTGTATTTAAACTGAGGAATAAACAAAGAGGTTAAAGATTCAGAGAACTTTCCTCACCAACAACCACAGTTTTATTGCATAGAATGGAAAACATTACAGCCGTTTGTTAACATTTCCAGTATATTTTCAATTAAAACATTAAACTAATAAATAACAGTTTATCAGTATTAATGTCTGCAGTGATGTACTTTCAAAGAAAAACCTGACCACTCGTCTGCGGATGAATTTTATGTAATTAACAGAAGAAAGTTGTTGAGAGTAATTGTTCTGTATCTGACAATCTAAAGAAAGAAATCTAATACTTCGATTAAAAGTTACAGATACCTGCTGAAGCTGTTGTATCTTGTTTTAGTAATGGCTGGGAGTTGTTTTAATTCATTTTTTTTTGTTTTTTTTTTTTTGTTTTGTTTTTTTGGAAGAATTTTGATAGCATCCATTTTACTCGTTCATTACTACATCAACAAACACCTGGCTCCAAAATATTTAATTTCATTGGCTGGATCGTACAAGACCGCCGAGCTTCTCATCGATGGTTGGCCAGTTTACATGTCAGTCAGAAGCACTAGCCTGAGTGGGCGGTTCTTGTCGGTTGTGAATGACAATGCGTATGTTGACGGACGCTGTGATGAGAGAGTCGAGAAATATACATTTAATTAATTAAATTCTCTCAGTGATGGTGTGTACAATGCAAGGAAATAAAAACATTCGGGGCTTTACTGAAAACAGCCCCCTTAGCCCACCCCTAGCGCCGCCCCTGTCTGCGATATTCTGTTGAAAATGGAGTTTAATCGCCCTCCTGTGGTGAACTGTGTGAATTACACTGCTTAACCGTATTCAGAGCGCCAGAGGAAAACTGCACTAAACTCTGCACTTACTTTGCATTTATTTCACATTGTTTGATAAATTATTAATTTAAAGCGACATAGTAAAAAAAATCTAGAAAAGTTCGCTTTTGTTTAATGGAAATATATTCTTATATCTGTAATATCAATTTAAAGACTCACGTCTAAACGCCCTCCTGTGGTGAATTGTGTGCATTACACTGCTGTTAATTATCTCATTTCTGTTAACCTTTTATTAAATTATTTACATTGATTAAAATCCTTTGATAAATAATTGAAAACCTCTGGCAAACATGTCGTTTTAAAATGAAATATATTGTTGGATGTATAAACTAAGGGAAAATTATGAAAAATTGATTGTGTCATTCTCTGTGTATTGTATACATGCCTCCCGATTTGTTAAAATAAACAAATACATTTTGTAATTTTAAAAAGTCCAATGTCTTGATCGAACTGTGGTGAATTCATGTGAATTACACTCCTGTTAATTATTTCTACCTAAAAATGTCTACCTAATTCTAGTTAATTCAAGTCAAAGGAAAACTTTGCATTACATTATTTTACATTGATTTCGTGTTAAATAAATCGTTCGTTACCACATGAAACATATGACCCCTTATTTATGGTATAATAATTGTACGTACTTTTAAATTTGAATTGAAAACGCCCTCCTGTGGTAAAATGTATTAATTACACCACTGAAACATTTTTTTCTACAGCAGTAACTCTAGAGGAAAACTAGCTTGATTAAGAATTATTCTTATAAAGCCCCGTTGATTCAGACGTTTTAATAACAGAAAAAAATATAAGCGCAACAGAATAAAAAATGAAGCGAGAACATTTTAATGTTATTTTGTGTTGAATGTAACAAAATATGGATTTTAATCCACGATGTAGTATTTGTTGGCAAATGTAAAACCTAAAGATGAAGTGACTTTGCTGTCACCCGGTGTCTTATTTTGGCTTATTTTAGAATGCTCTAAATTACAGTTTTTCCCCATTCATTTCTATGGGTGCCCATTTTTGACCCAAAGACAAGATTAAGAAGGTTTTTTCCACCCACTTAACATTGTAGAATTGAGTCAAAAAAAATATATATATATATTGTGTGTGTTCAGGGGGCAAACTTAGGAAAAGCAGCCAAGTCTTGTACCGCTCAGATCAAGGGAAGTATTTTTAAAAATAAATCAAAACTATTTTGCCCACATTTGTCCAGAATACGATTTTAGGGTTAAGACGAACATTTGTTTTTATCTGGACGCCCTCCTGTGGTGAACTGTGTGAATTACACTGCTGTCATTTTACCCATAAACATCGTGATGACATCTGAACGAGAACATCACACTGGTAAATGTGCTCCTAATACACCAAATGTCTCAGTATAGATGTGGAAAAAGGAAATATTCAGACTAAAAGCATTAAACGGGAGTTATAAAATAACCTTAAAACTATAATGTATATCCTCATTATAATAGAAAATAAGGTTGCAATACATACAATGTCCCGCTTTGTGCTTCTCACTCATCACTAGACAACTGTTACATGATCTACAGTGACACTTTATGTGTGTGTAACAGTGTGTGTCACTTGTATGTTTTGCGTGTGTGTGTGTGTGTGTGTGTGTGTGTGTGTGTGTATCCTCCAGAACGCAGAGCTGAATGAAGCTGAAACTGAGGCGTCGCCACTCAGTAATCCTGCGCCGCTGGTAAGAGACTCAACATGTTCATGTCATGTGAAGCCCTTTATAGATCATCAGTCCTCAAATACCTGCACTGACACTGCAAAACACACACAACTGCAGATTTATATAAGATTTGACTTTTGTTTAGATTTATTGTGTGTATATTACACAATCATACAAAGACTCTATAGATCATACACACAATATACAAGAACAAACGGTAACACTTTATAATAAAGTTCATTAGTTAACATTAGTTAGTTAGCTTGAACTAAGAATTAACAATATTAGCTAATATTCATTTCAAAATGTACTATACACTATTAAACTTAAAGGTTGTATTAGTTAACATTAGTTAATGCACTGTGAAAAACATGAACAAACAATGAACAGCTGGATTTATATGAACTAACATTAACACAGATTCATAAATACTGTAAATGTATTGTTCATTGTTAGTTCATGTTAGTAAATACATTAACTAATGTTAACTAGTGAATCTTATTGTAAAGTATTACTGAATAAACCATATAGGCATGTTTTACTGGAACAGTTTTAATGTAAATTCAGTTTTTCATTCTGTGCAATTATGAAGAATGGAGACTGGACTGTGTCAGGGAAATATTTCTTCAGTCATTACTCAATTATCAACTCCAGTGTCCCGCTGTTCACAGAAAGTACATGATAATCTGTTATTATATACAGTACTGAAGAAGAAATCTCAGGCATGTTAGTATTTTCAGGAAAACGCAATGGTTTTAAGCCAGTTATTTCCAGTTATTTCAGTTATATAGTAAAGGAAAACATTTGGAAAACTTGAAACCAAACTAAAATGCTCCAAAACGAACTAAAATAAATGATCAAAAGGTTATTTTACAGTTTTTCTCAATCGCTTCGGCTCAAATGGGACTTTTTTTCCTCACAACAAAAGGTTCATATTTTTAAACAATTAGTTTCATGTTCATATCAGATTTGAATTTTGTATTGATTTAATCAAATTGTGTGTGTTTTAGCATATGTGTAAAAGAGATAATAAATAAATGCTCATGGCTTGTTGATCAAAACTGATGGGTTGATTCTCAATGAAACTGTCAAACTCTTCACAACTTTGAACAGTTTGATCTGAAAATAAATGTTGCATCTTGATTTATTGTCATTATTGTATTAGATTATAGGAGGCTGGTGATCTACACAGATCTTAGTGAGGATCGGTCAAACTAAAGGCGATGTATGAACGGCGCATGTATGGTTGGCACGTCTGAATCTGAAGAGCTTTTGATTTCTGTCACTGATTTAGCAAGTTGTACAGAAGTGTCTAAATAAAACACACTTTTCTGTACGAGTGAGCAGTCGGCGACCGATTTAAGAGGTGTTAGCCAACCCTGCACACACTGACTAAAGCCAGAACTGACAAGTGTGTGTCCGTGAGATCCACAATCAGGCTGACGGGATCTCCATGTGGCATTGGGTCCAGAATCAATTAATAACTGAAAGTATTGGACACTCAGAATAATCAAAGATATAAATTAAGTCATAATAAATATTTATGATTATTTTCTAATAAGGAACACAATCTAAACTCAGTTTAAGCGTAGAGCTAAAGTATTGAAACTAAATTGTAATAAATTGTAATAAATTAAGTGAACTTCACTGGAGTTGGATCAGTCGTGGCCTTTACCAAACTGACATAGCAATAACAAATAGATAGAAGTATATGTATATATTGTATATAATAAAATATTTATTTTCAGTTATTCATTTTTTATTACAAATAAAAAAAACATATGAACATTTTGACCAGTGTGGCTCACATAATGATAAAAACACTTTTTACATGTTTTAGTTTTTTAATGAATGTAAGGTTTGTATTAGAGACACCAGATACTTGTTATGCAAATGAGCGGCTGGGTGTTTCTGTTATAAGGGTGTCGTGTTAGCGCCCCCCTAAGTTAATAACTAATGATCAATCAATACTAACTTTAACTGGACAATAACTTTATTCTAGCGCTGCTGTAAATCCAACACAATCTGTGTTCCTGTAATCTCCTATTGTCTCTGTAAAGCTGAACTCAGGTGATGATGCACATCGGTGTGTTTGAGGTGATTCCCCTCTTCCATGTAGAGCGCTTTAAACACAGAAAAGCACTCGATAAATGTGACCAATTATCAGTTTTGATGAACAAGCCGACTTATTGTTTTGAGGGGAAAAAGTCTAATTTGAGAATTGAGTCAAAGCGATGTTTTGGGTGAGTAACAACATTTGCAGACATGCAATAAACTGTAGAGATCTGACGGTCCAGCAAACAGTTATGACAATTATAATTACAGTTTAGAGAGTGTTAAGTCTATTTTGTGCCAAAGCCTTTGAGAACAAGTGTAATTATAATTTTGATACTGTTTACTTTAAAAGTTGATTACTTTGTATTTTTTGTAATTATATATAAATGTCTCACTTTACAGTGACACAAAATAAAATCTTGTTCAGATTAACTGAAATAATTGTTTGAAAATTTTACAATATAAATATTATAAATAATAATTGAATATTACAAATAATAGTTCTGAATGGTTTTCCCCCTTTTTCTAGATGGGAAATCCCTTCAGCTACAGAAGATTTGTGTCACATTCAAGAAACCATCTTTCTCCAACTATTTGATCTGGAAACTCAGCAGATCCACATCATGTGCTTTAATACACAGGGTAAAGGTTGTGGAAGATCTTTTGGCTGTTATAATTCAATCTACTCTGAAGATGAAGTGTGTAAATGAGATGCTGGAGATGATGCTGGAGTGTCCAGAGAAGTTCACACTGCATTCTGGGATCAGTTCCTTGAACAGTGTGAAGGGGAAGATGAGTGTGTCCTAGACTGAGACCAGACTTCTCTGACGCTGAATGGGAGTCAGTTGAAGGATCTGGTGAAAGGATGACTTGACTTCGGTGTTCTGCCAGTGACGCTTTCCAGTGCTTTCATTTTAGCATTGACTCAGTCGGTGATGATGTCATGATGTCATCTTTCCACAACTCCCTCTCTTCGACTGAACGATCTGCGGTTGCAAAGGCTGGTCAAGACACACTGGAGGAATGAAGTGATGAAGAGGATTTGCTCGACCTCTTCACAAGAATGGGCTCTCATTGCATCCCTCCAACAAACACCATGAAAGTTGCCACACAAACAAGCAATTCTTCAAGAGCCCAAATATATAATAGATGCTTCTCCAAAACCATGCCATTTGCACTGCTGAATGTCCCAGACCAGGAACGTCTCCTGTCTCTCTATGACACAAAGAAGCACAAAAGTGTCACAGCGACTTCAAACATCACAGGTAATCTCTCTCAGATCTCAGATCAGATCGTATTCAATCATCTGCAACGTTATGTCAGAAATGATGAGCAGTTTCTACACTTCTGTTCTGGATCTTCTGTCATATGTGTTGATCAAATCAAGGTAATCTTCAATGCAGACTCTGGCCTCAGCAGAAGACCAGTTGCTCATACTTGTGGAGCAGTAGTTTAAAATGTGATATTTTTAGGTCAAACCGTTCTTGTCTATCAGTCATATAATGCCTAAAGTCTATGGTCACCACCTCAAAGAGCATGCAGAGTCCAAATTAAACAACTGCAGAAACAAAGACATCTACATCTTGGATGCCCTTGAGGTAATCTAAAACATACCAACAATTAATTTCAAAGTGAACTATCCCTTTAACATTCAAAGTGTTATCACAATTAAGTAATCCTAAATACATTAAATGTTCAATCATGTTACAAAATGAGCATCTTTCTATTTATAAGTGCAAGTTAACGTTTGTGCACAAACAGAGGCACAATGTTTATCACAGCCTCAAGTTCACAAATGCACCGTCACAGTAAAAACTTTCTAAGATTTTAGGGACTGTACCGTAGCAGAGCAATGAGCCGAACTCTCCATGAACACCTTCTCAAAGTGTCTTTCAGTTCTTTTGGGTATTCAAAGTCCAAGACAAAAAGAAGGCCCAACAGGTTTGCAAGTGCAGACTGCAAGTCTGGAGCATCTCTCAAAACAGTCACTTCCTCCAACACAACATCATCTTCAGATGCCACAAGGATCCTCTCCTTCTCTGGTCTGTCTGTCCTCTGGAGTCTTGTCCTAATAATAAAGAATAAATCAATATCACTTGAAAACAACAAAAAAATATACATTAGCAGCGTCACTGAACGCTGATCCACAACAGAACCACAAGACGATACAATGCTCAATAAAGTCGTAATTTTTGGACCAAAATGTATTTTCGATGCTTCAACACATTGTAACTAACCCACTGATGTCACATGGACTACTTTGATGATGTTTTATTTCCTTTCTGGACAAGGACAGTATACCACGTGCACATTTTCAATAGAGGTACAGAAAGCTCTCGGACTAAATCTTAAATATCTTAAACTGTGTTCTGAGATGAACGGAGGTCTGACGGGCTTGGAACGACATGAGGGAGAGTCATTAATGACATCATTTTCATTTTTGGGTGAACAAACCCTTTAAGGAACCATAAAGTACCATAATCCTATACAATGTGCCCATAAGTTTGCATCCCACTTCCAGAAACTGCAAGATGTGTATCATTTTATATAAAAAATGCATTTTAATACACACAAATAACAATTGTTAGTTTTTCAATATAGTACTGCCCTCAATAAGCTATTTCACCTACAGTAAAAGTATAAAAACTAATCATAGACCCTAATCACGTTGAATCAAAAACCAATGAATCATTAAAACAATCTGTTTGCTGTTAACACAAAAAATCATTTGGCAATGGTCATGTGGCAATATGTTGTATATCTTAATAAGTAATGAAACATACTCACCAGACTTGTTTTAAAAAGTGCTGAGAAATCTTCACAGAGAAACATGGGAGACCTTCCAGGACAATTTGCTTTCGTGAGTCACAATATTTGTGGTCAAAAATGGGTACAAATCAACTATTTTTATTTTTAAATGCACTGTTATTATTTTAACTTTTTATGAGTTTGTATGTATGTTTGAAGTCAAAGAGCCTCTAATGAGCCACTGAATCAAATTCGATGGGTTAAATAGGAAATCAGTATTGTATGCAGTATAAGTTCAGGTCCAAAATCAGTCTAATCAGCCAGTGTATACTTGACATTCATATTCCTTCAGAAATATCTTCAATAAATGTTCTTTATATAAAATTAAATGGCTAAATCTGTTAAATCAGTTTTTTAAACTATCTATCTATTGGTAACTTTGACACATGGTGGTCATAACAAGTTACCTGGTGATCAATCTTGTTGAAATGATCTTTCATTTCTGTTCCAAACTGTACTTCTCCTGTCATCTCCTCTTTTCCTGTTGAAAAAAGAGTTACATATTGCACCTTTAATTACATGCACAGAAATCCATAAACTTGATCCAGCTTGCAAATTTATTTTGCAATCCACAAACAAAAGCATTCAACTTTTGAGAAACCTCATTTAATATTTATACAGGAAACATGGTTAAAACTGCAATTGGATTTCATAATAAATGGATATTGTAATAAGAAATGACAGAGAATATGGAAGAGGAGGAGGCTTAGCAACGTTTATACAGAATGGGATGAAATATAAGGAAGTAAAAATAAATGCAGATTATGAATCAATTATAAATAAAATATGGACTGAAAGAGGTTGTAAAGATGTAATTAATTATTATAATCTGCGTAAAAAATTGAGTCAGAACATCTTAGAGGATGTAGTTGGACCAATACAAGACAGTCTTATATGGTGTGGTGATTTTAATTCACAAAATTCATTATGGGGGGTAATATTACTGATGCAAATGACATACTAATTGAATAATTTATTGATGTTAAGAATTTGGTGTGTATTAATAATGGAGAAGGGACATAATATAATAGCAAAAACAACACAGAAATGGGTCTTGACCTGACATTTGTATCTAGTTCAATAGCAGGGGTTAGTGATCAAACATACTACAGTAGGGAGTGACCATTACCCGGTAGTGACTAAACTTGGTATAAAGATATGCTATGAAAAGGAAAAGAGAATTCCTAGATGGAAACTGGAGAAAGCAAATTGGGAAGGTTTTCAAGAAATTTGGAAAAGAGATGTTTGACACTTCAGGTTGAGAATCAGATGGATGTAAATATATTTAATAATAAACTAGTTAATGAAATCATTCAGTCGGCTGAGGAAGTGAAACCTAAAAGTACAGCTGTGAGATACCAAGAGTGTACCCTGGTGGAATAATGACTGTAAAGAAGCTATAAAAGCAAGAAATAAGGCATTCAGGCAACTCAAGAAACATCATTCTCAGGATACTTTGATTTTCTATAAAAGGGCTCAGGCAAAAGTAAGGAAAACAATAAAAGCACAAAAACGTTCATTCTGGAGGCAATATAGTAATAGCATTGGAAGAGAAGTACAACTATCAGATGTATGAGGCATGATCAGAAGAATGGGGGGATCAGAAGGAATTATGAAATGCCAGTGTTGAATAGTGGGGACAAAATAGCTGTCAACAATCTAGAAAAGGCTGAACTCCTGGTTCAATTATTCAAGAAGGTTCATAGCTCAGATCATCTTTCTGAAGAGGCCAGGCAGTTAGACAAGTCTATGTAGATAACTCACCGTGCTCTCCGCCATGCTTGTCTCATCGTCAATAACTCTCACTTCCGGAACTCTTCACTTCCGGTTCTGGCGCTGGGGTTCTGAAACTGGTGGTGCTGCGGGTCTGCAGCTGGATATATCTCACTCTGTGAGGCGTCTGAAAAGCATCTTAAATGTCCGCTTCGCGAATGAAACACATATGTACTTGAACTCACGAAGAAATGCATAGAAACTCATAATACAACGAAACAAAACCATGTCATGTTCAATGTAAAATATCATGTTCTTTTCAGCAAGTGTGCTCATATTTTTCTCAGAGTATTGAATGGTAAGGATGTCTCATATTAAATATCCAATTCTTAAATATATTTTTTGGTCTGAATTCTAAAAAGGAAATGCAGCAAGAGGTCAGTGTACTCAAAACAATCAAATAGATTCTCTGACAAGAAGTCATGTAATAAAAACAATCGACGTTTAATAAATGAATATGTATATAATAATCAGTGTTTGTTAAGGAATCTTCCAATGCAAGCCACTTATGCAAATCTAGGAAGTGACTTGGAACATTCTTAAATGTATTCAAGAATGGAGATTGTTCAGTCCTTGCAACAGGTGTGAGAGTGTGTGTTTGTGTGAGGGTGTGAGTGTGTCTGTGTGCGAGTTTGAGCGTTTTTGTGAGAGAAAAAGAGAGAGAGAGTGAGTGTGTGTGTGTGTGTGTGTGTGTGTGTGAACAGCGTGTGCTATGTCATGGGATCAGCTTCCCATCCTATATGTGTGAAGCTATCCGGATCTGTAAGTGTGAAGATGCACAATATATCTTTAGTGAAGTGACACTATTAGACTCTATGTCATTTTCATCTTCTTATGATGTGTGTTCAGTCTGGATAGATTTGATCTATTCCGGGTGATGATGCTGTGAGTGTGTAGTGTTGGAGGAGTGTGTTCAGTCAGTGTTCATGTCTAGGAGATGGGTGGAATTCTACTGTATAACAATTGTGTTGCAAATTTTAGTTCCAGTTCTAAACTGGGAGGCCATCTAATGTAGTGATGTGCTATTGTGAGATGTAAAGGCGTCTTGAATTGTCTTTTCACCCATCTCCCGAATCTCAGGTTAAGTTCTAACAATCATGAAGTCCGGTTGTCCCAGCATCCGTCCTCCGAGGAATTGCAGAAGTAAACCTGACAGAAGCAAATGCAGAGAGAACCAGTTAATTTTGATGTTTTCAACAGTTTCAAATTCAGACATGTGGACACTTTCGTTTGCTTGCTCCATTATCATGTCCATAGCAATTTTAATTCCAGCTGTCTGTCCCATGAAACCGAGTTTCATTGACCAGATCTGAATTATTGCTGTTGTTGCTTCAGTGTGCGACACCTAAACACTGCTCTTGCAGTCAGCCTTCACAGTCTGCCGTCACAGCATTAGAGATCCAAGTTTCCGGGTTTTAAACTTCAAGTTGCTTTCATTACAGCCAGATCTGTGGGCATGAATTATTTCATAGTGCCATTCACACATTTGCTTAGTGATGGTCTCTCGTTACCTCTGATGTTTAGTTCACACCCTCCTTGGATGTGTGTTGAGGCAAACTTACGCCGCCTTCACACTGGCAGTTGAAATCAGCTCCGATGCGGCTGCGAAACGACCGGAAGTCATTCATTTCCTATGGAGATTCGCAGACCGCATGCGAATGGGTCCGAAACGGGTCCGACCGAGTGCGGTGCGAAGAAAATCGTGTCCGTTGGTCATCCGGATGCGTTCAAAAATTTGAACTCGTGCGAAAAGCTACGGACGGTTCCTATCCGACAATTCCAGCGGAAGTTGAGCGTTGCTATGGTACTGATACACAAACCTGAATTATTAACTTTTAATACAATAAATAATGATTTTATAACGATAAGTTGTCATGTCATTTTATAATTTCATGACTTTCTAACGTTTATAAGGGCAGTTAATACAATTAAATTGAAGGTAGACATTGAACTATTGACCACTATATCACATTTTTATTCGACCTGACATGTCAACGTCCTGAGCAACTTTCCTCACGCAGCATAACCCTCATCAGAGAGATCATACAGAACTGACACAATCAAACTTTAATCTCCCCGCAATTTTTGTTCTACCCGCGTCCGACGCTTTTCACTGTGTAGTACGACGTCCGTTGGGAACGTATTGCGTATTACGGAGCTGATTTAAACTGTCAGTGTGAAGGCGGCGTTAGGAAAAGCAGCCAAGTCTTGTACCGCTCAGATCAAGGGAAGTATTTCTTAAAAATAAATCAAAACTATTTTGCCCACATTTGTCCAGAATACGGTTTGGGTTAAGACGAACATTTGTTTTTTATCTGGACGCCCTCCTGTGGTGAATTGTGTGAATTACACTGCTGCAACTTATTTCTACAGCTGTGACTGCAGTCAGAGGAAAACTTTGAGTGACAATATTTTGTAACTTTTAATAAATTGTTGGTTGCCATGTGACACAGTAAAACATCTGGCAATTACCTTTCAAATTTTCTATAAATATATTTTGCATCCGCGATCAGGAGTGGTTCTAGGGTGATTGGATATCTGGGGCTTAACCCAGAGAAATCCATGTATGTGTCACGATACAAGAAATAAACTTTAAATAAAATAGTTTTTTTTTTTTTTTTAACAAGGTGAATATCTCTTGCTAAATAAAATTAAAAATCACACTGCCACGCACCCTCTTCTTTCCTTGCTGACTCATCTCAGACATGGTTAGCAAGCTCAGCTCTATTATTGTTTTAATAAATAGCATTTACTTAACAACATGATTTTTGTGAGAATAGATAAAAAGAGGTGACTAAAGAATCTCTATAATAACAAAAAAAATAAAATCTTGACCCATTCTTCATGCACACATTACATTTTAAAGACTAATAAGACTACCTACCTTACCTTTTGTGTGTGCGCCGCGCGTGCACGTCCTATTGACTGTGCTGCACAAAGTGTTTGACGATCAAAATGTATATCTGACAATCTAAAGAAAGAAATCTAATACTACGATTAAAAGTTACAGATAACTGCTGAAGCTGTTGTATCTTGTTTTAGTAATGGCTGGGAGTGTTTTAATTCCTTTTTTTTTTTTTTTTTTTTTTTTTTTTTTTGGAAGAACTTTGATAGCATCCATTTTACTCGTTCATTACTAACTTCTTGCACATCAACAAACACCTGGCTCCAAAATATTTAATTTCATTGGCTGGATCGTACAAGACCGCCGAGCTCCTCATCGATGGTTGGCCAGTTTACATGCCAGTCAGAAGCACTAGCCTGAGTGGGCGGTTCTTGTCGGTTGTGAATGTCAATGCGTATGTTGACGGACGCTGTGATGCGAGAGTCGAGAAATATACATTTAATTAATTCTCTCAGTGATGGTGTGTACAATGCAAGGAAATAAAAACATTCGGGGCTTTACTGAAAACAGCCCCCTTAGCCCACCCCTAGCGCCGCCCCTGTCTGCGATATTCTGTTGAAAATGGAGTTTAATCGCCCTCCTGTGGTGAACTGTGTGAATTACACTGCTGAACCGTATTCAGAGCGCCAGAGGAAAACTGCACTAAACTCTGCACTTACTTTGCATTTATTTCACATTGTTTGATAAATTATTAATTTAAAGCGACATAGTAAATTTTTTTTTGAAAAGTTCGCTTTTGTTTAATGGAAATATATTCTTATATCTGTAATATCAATTTAAAGACTTACGTCTAAACGCCCTCCTGTGGCGAATTGTGTGCATTACACTGCTGTTAATTATCTCATTTCTGTTAACCTTCAGGGATGGGCAGTATTTCAGATACATGTATTTAAAATACGTATTTGAAATACAAAATACTATTTTGTATTTTGTATTTTAAAGCCTTTGGAAAAAATCAAATGTAATTTGTATTTAAATACATTTAGGATGAGTATTTTTGTATTTTCAAAATACTCAAAATACTTTGAGCCAGAATCCTAGAAGATCAGGGGAAGGATTTGGACATCTTGAACCAGTATCCACTTATTAGACAGCTGTTTGTGAGGTTCAACACAATCATTCCCTCTTCAGCTCCTGTAGAGCGCTTGTTTTCCTTTGCGGGTCTTGTGCATAAGACTGACATGACACTGTCATAAACATGACATAACACCTGTCATGAACATGAAGGAGTCTTTATGAATGTTTATGACTTTTGTCATTAAGTGTCATTCGGTAAATTATGACAATTTTAAGGCAAAGTTGACATTGTTTAAAATGTCTTTGTTATGACAACTTGACATTAACAAAGACAAAAAATGTCTTGATTATGACAACTTGACATTAACCAAGAAATCATAACCTGTCAACCTGCCATGTTTATACCTAGTCCAACGTGTTCCACTTTACTTGAGGTAAGGGGAAATATTAATGACACTGTTGTTAAAACATTTGACAGTGTAATAACCCTTAATGACATCTTTATAACTAGTACAATGTGTTACACTTTACTTGAGGACAAGTAAAATATTCATGTCACAGTTATAATGGTGTCATGACGGCCAAAGTCAAAACCAACCACATATGACAGTAATGTAATGTTAACGCAAAGCTAAATAACTTCTTTAAGTTTGATAATTAGACCTGTTATGACATTTGTGACAGGTTATGATTTCTTGGTTAATGTCAAGTTTTCATAACAAAGACATTTTAAACAATGTCAACTTTGCATTAAAAGTGTCATGTTTATGACAGTGTCATTTCAGTCTTATGCACACCCCTTCAAATAAAGTGTTACCGTTTAATCAATAGGCCACACAGACGACGTCTTAAACCCAAACTTTTTGAAAAGCTGGTGGTGCTAAAGGGAATCGAACAGATAGATGTCTGAAACACATAGGTACACCACCTGGAGGAGCAGTAGAATATCATGTTTAAAGCAGTTTTTCCAAAGATGAAGTTTGGATCAATGTTCCAGAAACTGTTTGGATTTTCCACAAATCTTTTAATCCAGTTGATTTTTAATATCTCATTGAAAAGTGAGAAGTCAATTACCGATAAACCCGCCTCCTCAATTTTATTAGTCAAGATATTTTTCCTGATTTTATGAGGCTTCTTCCTCCATATAAAGTTATATAATAGTTTGTCTAGATTGGCACATTGTAACTTATGAATTTCTATTGATGTAAATAAATCTGCAGCTCGTGAGAGACCTTCTGCTTTAGAAAGAAGAACCTGCCATACGAAGATAAATCTCTTGATCCAAGAGTCAAACTTTAATATAGTCGTGTAGTAAAGAAATATTACTCTCTGTCATCAACTTTTGATTAGGACTGATTTTATTCCATTATAAGTTACTAAATTCTTTATATTTATGCCGCATATTTGACCCGAATGTTTATTTTTAAGAGAAAACTGCTCACATTTTGAAAGATTTAGATTCAAGCCAGAGCTTTCAGAAAATTGGTTTACAACATTTAGTGCAACTCCTATTTGGGATTCATTTTTTAGAAACAGGGTTGTGTCATCAGCCAACGGTCAGATTTGTATTTCTCTTTCATTTAATGTAATTCCTTTGAATGAACTCTTGTGAATTAAATGACAGAGATTTTGAGCTTCAATCCCCAATAGAAGAGGCGAGGTGGGGCAGTCTTGGCGGAGACCTTTGTGTGTGTGAAATCTAGATGAGTTTCCATTAGCCAATCTAACACAACTGTTTCCTCATGTACAGAGTTTATACAGCATTAATACAATTCTTACCAAAACTAAAACAGTTTAAGGTGTCGATAATAAACTTGTGGCTTACCGTGTCTAAGAATAAAATAAGGTGTTGTTCATCATCTAGAAAGTCTTTGTATTCAATCAGATCCAAAACTAAGCGGATGTTATTGGCTATGTGACGATCTTTCATGAAACCAGATCGGCATTCATCAATAAAAGAGTGTAATTTAGATTTGAGGCGTTTTGCTAAGATAGATGCTAGAATCTCACAGTCATTATTTAGCAATGTTTGGGTCGCCGATTGTCAATGAACAGCGAGTGTGTGTGAGGTTTTGGATGAAGTGTGTGGAGGAAGATCCCTCTGTCAAGATATTCTCTGAAGACAGCCAGAAGAAATTTACCTCAGAGAAACATTTCTACATCTCAGAGCTCAGACCATCACAGCCTGGGGATTTATTGTTCTTTAATTGAGTTATTCCCCAAATAATCTCCTCAAGAGTTATGTCCTGACAGCAGATTTGATTATATTCATTACAGTCATTATTTAGCAATGTAATGGGTCTCCGCTGCCCTGCTGAAAATGTGAAGCAGAAACGCTTAATATCAGATAACGTCCATAATAATTGTACTTTGGGTTTGATTTTTTTGACCGTTGTCATATTGTCAACATGGCCGGCTACTTGAAGCAGAATAGTGGGCCATATATGTCTAATGCTTTTAAAAACCTAAGGCTTTCTTCTTCATATTTTTTAAATTTATTTTTTACTTATTTATTTACATTAGTAAGCTACATGACATCATCTTTCAAAACATGACCTGCGTGAAAGAGAAAAATAAATGAATGTGTCTCTGTCGCCAGCACATTTCAGACCACACTGACACCCATGGGTTCACATTCAGAGTCACAGTGATTACTGTCCCTCATCTTTGCCAAAACTGGCCCTGATTTGTTTTAAGATAACTGGGTCACATTTGCTGCAACATATGTGGGTCATGTTTGGTTCACACCCAGATTAGTCATTGTCAATTGTGCCACATTTTTGCCATAGGTGGCCCACATTTGGTTTGTGATATTTGGGCCATATTCATTATTTATCATATGGGCCACTTTAGGCCCACATTCAGATTACACATTGCCATGAGTGCCGCATCTTTGCCTAAAAAGGCCCACATGTGATTTAAGATATTTGGGCCATATTTGCCATTTTACACGTGGGCCACTTCAGGCTCACACACATTTTGTCGGGACAATAAGAAGGCCTGCAGTGCCGCATCATATTAAATATAATAGATGTAAAGCCTGAATCATGTTCACATGCGTGTCTGTGTGTGTTTCGGTGCGACTTCTATTGAGTCTCTGTAAAGGAGAAACTAATGAGTGTACGGCGTATGGAATAAACCACAGCGAGCAAATACTAATGTTATTTTGAGTTAAACACAAACCTTTAGATAAAGCCGTTTGTCCTCTAGTTTAAACATGTTTGTAGGCTCTTAGTAAATAACTGAGAGTAAAGTAAGTGTAGAGTAGTGTGACGTGTTGCTTGTCACAGTAAAAACACACTAGAGACAGAGACATTGCTCATGTGAGCTGGACGCTGTGAGCTGAAGCTGGAACTGCACTGATTTTAGCAGGAGTGCAGCGTTTCCTACAATCTGACCAAGTCTGTTTCACACTCAAATGATTCACTTCTACTGACACAGTTCATAAAGCAGGTGTTGATGTATAAAGCTGTGACAGTGAGCTTTTCTTCTCTTTCCTCCTTTGTGTTCAACATTTCAATGACTTCACAAATGTTTGAAAGGTTTGTTCACATATCAGAGGTAAATGAAGATGTCTTTAATATCTCAGTGATGTTTCCTCACCTCAGGTCACAGTTTGAGTCTCGTAGCTCGTCTCTGAGCCGCTGCTTTGAGTCTCCGATCTTATTCTCTCTCAGATCAAGCTCTTTTAAAAACTGCAGAGCTTTTGAGTTAGTCAAAGACTGAGTTAAAGAAGAAACATCTGTCATATCACAGCAGATTAACCTACATTAGCAGAGAGAGAGAGAGAGAGAGAGAATGAAGAAAATAAGAGACTCTTTATTCTGTTAAGTCACATCATCTTCATCAGCAAATAAAACAGACAGAGGAAGAGAGATCTTCATCTTTATTTCACCAGATCACAAAATAATAAGGTGAAAATGTTTGTACAAATATAATGTTAATGTGTTCTAGTTTAAACAGTTGAAGTGATTTTAAGCATTTTGATTCTTGTATGTGAATGTGACTGACCTCAATCTCTCCAGTTTACAGTGTGAATCCTTCAGTACGGCACATAAGTGCTTCACTCCTGAGTTTCCTAATTTATTCTCGCTCAGGTCCAGCTCTCTCAGGTGTGACGGGTTTGATTTCAGAGCTGAAGTCAGGATGAGACTCTGTTTCTCTGTAATACTGCATTCACTCAGACTGAAGACAGAGAAATAACAATAGTTCACATCTATGATGATCATCTTATTGAAGAGCTACAGCAGCATTTAGTTTCCAATAGTCTGTTTTAAAACCCAGTCACACTAGTTCTGTGCGCTGGAAGACACTGTTTATTCTCTTTCATTTCTAACTATTTATTTGACGTCTCTCTTCTTTATTCCCTGTTGAAAAGGCAGATTTCTGTGTGTACACAATCAGTGCATTGTATCAGATGTTGGGAATTAAACAATTACTATCTACACTCTAAAAGGTTTTATATGATTTACTACATTTTTTTGGTGAAACAATCAAAAATATTGATTCCATTTTAAACCAGTAAAATCAATTACAATACACTGTATAAGCTAACTAGAAAAAAAGCACACACAAATGTGTATAGGTAAACCCAGAAAGTGCACTGCTATAACCAATGAAACATAAGCCCTGCTGTCTTCAAATAAATAAACTTTAGTCACACTGTAATTCAGTGGTGGGCCAGCAGGGCCAGCAAGGCCTTCTCTGCTGGCCTGAAGACTATCAGAATATTATATTATAAATATATATTATAAATATATATTTTTTGCATGAATATTAAATTATTCCCAATAGTTCATTCTCTTAATTTCATAGCTTTTCTCTTGGTTGCGCTGCTTCCAGTATTGTGTTTTTATGTTAGAGCTTGTATCCAATCATATTTCAGCCATCATGCGTTGCGTCATTTTCCCATTCTTTGATTGGATGCGCGTACTATTACAGGTAGTATCCGCATCTGTAGCGAACTGCATAAACTAAAATATATTCCTGTAGATGTAATAGATTTCAACCCACAAATTAATGTTTCTCATTAATTTCTCTCTCTGTTTCTAATTAATCAACCCCCAGCAGAAAAAAAAAATCCCTTATTCAGCCTGAGCTAAACGCAGAGTAACTCTATTCGATCTCTCCGGGTAAAAACAGAACTGACTAATGTAAGTTATGAAACGAATGATTTTGAAGGCAAAAGTCCCGCTGATCTCGTTGTTTTCGGTCTAAACTCTGTGTGAGAGCATGGGGCAGCTGTACACATCATCATGTTTTGCGGTGACTGTGCTTCTGTCGAACAGGAACTCTCAGCCATAAAGCGAATTAAAATTTATGCTAGAAATGTGACGAGACAGACACAACATTATTGGAACTGAAACGCAGTTAGAACCTGTACGACGGTAATTGAAGTCTTCTTGAGGAAAGAAATAAGGATGGATTTTGTGCAAAAAATAATCTGTAGTTTTGGTGAGTATATGCCTTTTTCCCCGTGGTGAATATGATTTTCTTCTTAATTTTTTGTATAAATTTATGATCGAAACTTATTTTTTTTCAAACATTCATACTATTGTAATGTCTGAAAAGGGACCATTGTAACCCTTGAACGACAAGATAAGTGAGGCTTCGTTTCTGAACTTATAATCGGATTCGGAACGCAAGAGCCACTGTACAAACGCACCAGCCGAACTCACGCGCTCGTTTCTCTCTACCGGCCTCTCCTGAACCCACCGCATTAACCCAATAACTGCCGGTGCAAAATAAAAACAATTATAGAGTCTTTGCGCTGATACACTATTAAAAGTTATTATGCATAGGTGTGAAATGCACGGCCCGCCACTGCTGTAATTGCTGTACAGTATAATGACACTAACTGTAGTTTCTCCAGCTTGAATTGTGGGTTCATCAGTAGATCACTGAGGTTTTTCACTCCAGAGTCTCCTAGTTTATTCACGCTCAGGTCCAGCTCTCTCAGGTGTGACGGGTTTGATTTCAGAGCTGAAGTCACATCAGAACAACCTTCATCTGTCATATCACAGCAGATTAACCTACATTAGCAGAGAGAGAGAGAGAGAGAGAGAGAGAGAGAGAGAATTTTTGAATTTTGAAAAAATACTTTATTTACAATTTTTCACAAAACAAGTTTCACCATTTACTAATTTTCCATTTACCTTTTATACCACACACAAAGCTTTTTCTACATTAGTAGATGAGAAAAAAATATTTGTCCATCAATAACAGAGCACAAAGCCTCATTCTTGCACCATTTCTCTTCAAATGTAATAACATCATTCATGGAAGTATAAAAACGAAAATCAGTAAGTATTCTGGATTTGACAGTGGCTAAAAACATAATATTAATATCTTGATCAGCACCCCCTTCTATCTTGTTTTTTCTGCTCATATAGATTGCCAACTTTGCTTGACCTATAAGAAAATTTAAACACTGACAAATAAACCTATTTCTTCTAACATACCTAAAACCAATAATAAATACGTCTATAGAAAAAGATTAATTAAAACTATAAAATAAATTATGTAATAAACTAAACAACCTTTGTAGTCTAAAACAATCCATATAAGCATGAAAAACAGTCTCTCTACTAGAACAAAAAGGGCATTCTGCAGAAACATCAGGATTTAAAACTGAAATAAAAGCATTAACTGCTATCGCACCATGTATAAGTCTCCATTGTATGTCCCCAACTCTTACCTAATGGTGGCTTATACAATGATCTCCACTCTGGTTTATTATCATCATCAAGTTGTAAAACATTACGCCATGGTGTATCAACCCTCTCATTAAGCGCTTTTTTATTAAAAACAAGAACACAAGTTTATAAAAAGATTTACCAGTACTTGAAAAAAATTTAAAACATAGAGATTTTCCAGAGCTTAAAAAAATTCCTGAAACATCATCTAACATAGGAAAAATAAAAAACTCAGATAATACATCCTCTTCATTAGGAACAATTTTGTATTCATAGTATTCTGATAACAGTTTCAGTTCATCAAAAGTGAGTTTTTGTTTCCATTTTTGTAATAAATGAAAAACAGATAGTAACGACTTAATTTTCAAACTCAAAGCAACTCCTTCCATATTCCCAAAGTCTGGTCCTGTCAAGTGTACTAGACTCCCCATAGTACAAATTTTGGATGCCACAAGTGTTTCTGTAAGTCCAGGAATAGAACAGTCATTGTGTTTTAAATCGAAACGTGCTCCATATATCAACGGTTCTTTAAGGAGCCAGTAAAGAGATTCAAAATGTCCTTCTCTTTGCACTCTGAACATTTTCCACACTTTAAAAACATTACGATAAAAAATAGGCATCCCATTAAGGTTCACCTTTGACAAGTCCATGAAAAAAAGATTCCTGTCCATTTTCAAATTACCAACATTTTCTAATATTTTACATGCAACTGCTTTCCAGCTTGAAGTTACAGAATTATTATGAAGTCTTTGTAAAAAACTGTAAACGAAAAGCTGCTGCTCTACTTTGAATATGAACCAATCCTTGCCCTCCTTCTTCTTTAGGTAAAAACAATATGCTCTGAGGAACCCAATGTAACTTATCCCAGAAAAAAAAAAAAAACTAAAATTGCTTGAATCTCTGCTAAGAGGATCAAGGAGGATCAATACAGGTTAACTTATGCCATAAAGAGGAAGCAACTAAATTATTTATAACTAAAGCTCGACCTCTATATGACATATTTGGGAATAACCATTTCCATTTTTCAAGTCTACCTTTAACTTTTTCAAGAGTTCCTTCCCAATTTTTTTGTACAATCACTTCATCTCCTAAAAAAACCCCTAAATATTTAAAACCTCCTCTCTTCCAAACCAAGCCAGGAGGAAGGGCAAACGGAACATTTTTCCAATCCCCTATTAAAATTGCTTCACTCTTTTCCAAGTTAATTTTAGCAGAGGACCGTTTTTTAAAATCATCAAGTACACGCATTAAAACCTTTACATCACTCTGTTGGCTAACAAACACTACTAAATCATCAGCGTACGCAGAGACTGTTATACTTTCAACATTGGGCAATTTAAAACATTGTACATTCTTCCTCAATTGCTGCAGCAGAGGTTCTATTGCTAGTGAATATAGCATTCCAGAGAGCGGGCATCCCTGCCTCACCCCTCTAAAAACTTTAAAAGGAGTGCACAAGCCACCATTAATTTTGAGAATGCTCTCAACATCACTATACAAAACTTTGATTCCCTTTCGTAGTCACTTCGAGTTACGTCAGAAGTGACGGAGATTGGGGATTTCGCATAGAAAGCCAATCCTCTTCGAGTATTTAATCACGAGCCAATGGCATGCAATGCCTTGGGGCTGCGGAAATTTGCATAGCGTACTCCGCCCTACTCCGTGAGTATAAAAGGAGGAAGTTCTTCACTCCTAAGCCATTCTCACTGACAAGACTCTTCGAGACGAGCTTCCTCTTCAGTGTTGGTGTGACGGCGATACCCAGCGAGATTCTGCATTGCCTGCGATCTGTGCAGTGGTCTGCCAGACTGTGCGCTTCTCCCTGGACGCCTCAGCGCTGAAAGAGTGAACTTCCTCCTTGTAAAAGAGCTACACGTGGCACGTCTTTTTAAAGATGGTTCGCCCGTGTTCTTCTGGATGCGGTCGATTCATGTCGTCCTCTGATGGTCACGATCGCTGCTCTGTGTGCCTGGGCATTCAGCACGCAGCAGCAGCGTTCGTGGATGACTCATGTTCCTTTTGTGGGAAGATGACCATCTCTACACTGCGTTCAGGACTCAATGATCTAACTAAAGTGAGAGTCCCCGCATCCGTTACTCGATCCGCTTCTTCCTCGAGAAGCGCTTCGACTAGCGGACAGGGTGAGTTGACGGTGACGGTGTGGAACAAAAACCCGACGAAAGAACCTCGGGCCACACCCACCGCCCCAGTGTTAGAGCCAGCGAGCGCTGCTTCGATTCAGGCGTCTGCCTCTTCGCAGGTACCGTCTGTTTCGTTCGGCGCTCCAGAGGATGACGCGATGTTGATGGCGGCATCACAGGGCGGGCTTGAATCTTCGGGAAGTGAGGATGCGGCTGCGTTGCCTCCCTCGGGAGTGCCGACGTTGCCCATGTCTGATCCCGAGATGACGGCCATGCTTTCTCGGGCCGCCGTGAGCATCGGGTTAGAGTGGAACCCTCTGCCCTGCCCCGAT